CCTCGTTGGGGATGCTGTAGTCCTCGTGCATCAGCCACACCCACTGAAGAAATAACAACACACACGCGCGCGCGCACCCGCATACCCGCACACGCACGCACGAACACACCGCACACGCACGTGTTAGAGCGACCACGAAAACACCAAAGAGGGGAGGGAGCGATCACCTTGAGCGGGGGGACGCGGATGGTCTCGCGGATCGGGTTGTTCATGAGTCGCACGAACGGAAGTCCGCCTTCGACGGTCGGGGTGAAGCCCCGGCCGGTCACCGTCACCTCCACCGTCTTGTTCGGATGCGGATTGTAGGCCACCACGCCTGTTCAACGCGGGCGTGAGTGGGCCGCACACAACACGACATGCGCACCACCGCACGCGCACCCTCAGATGACACGACACGACACGCAGGGCACACACGGTACCGTAGCTGGCGGGGAATCCCGCGCGGTTGTAGAGCTCCCACCAATTGCGAACCTTACCGCGCACGTCCTCCGACCGCAACAGCACCACATTCCCCAGCGCACTGCCAGATTAATTTTCATAAGACTCTAAATTATTAGTAATATTATTTTCATTATTAATAAAAAGAATAATTAATAAGATAATAGAAATTAATAAAAAGAACAAAAGCGAAGCACTGAGGGGGAAGAGTGGTAGTACGGGTCGGCAAAGTCGGAGTGCCAGAGCTGTTCGGGGTTGTTGACGGCGATGAGGCTGCGGTCGCCGGTCGGTCTGAAGGCGAGCACGGGCGGCTCGCTGGGCGCAGAGTCCACCACCACCGCCACGCTAAGCATCGCCAGCAGCGCAACGAGCGCCAGTGTCACACCCTCACTAATCCGCGTCATGGCTCGCACCGCTTGCTGCTACCGCGCCCAGGGGGAAGCGTTACTGGTTGGGGATGCCTGAAATTGTGTCTTTGATGACCGTCGGTTGGCAACCGATTGGCCAGCGCTGACAAAATGAGCCATAGCGTTGATGTCAACCGATTCGACTTCTTCCTGACCGCTGCAACCCGCTCTGCTTCGCGTTCCGCAAGAAGCTCGAGGAAGGAGCAAGAGGCCAGCCCGCTCAAGTGAACTACACTTTGTACAAAAAACCGCACGACACGCGCATGGCACACGACACGCGTGGTGCCAGGGTGGGTTGGTTGGAATAAACATTTACGGTAAGATTGAATATCTTGTACACTGTGGGCTGTTTGTGCGTGCCGCGCGCGCAGAGCGATAGTTGAATAAAGCGTGGGTCGTTGGGCTTCTTGAGGTGACCCTAGTTCCGCCCCTTGACAACGTTGAGCGGCAGGTAGGCCTTGAGGTGGGTCGTGCCGAAGGTGGCTTTGAGGTTGAACTCCAGGGCCAGCTCGTGCTTGAGCTCGTCTGTGGACTCGGTGACGGACCCCGGGATGGTGAACGGCACATCTGTCGCATCAGGAAGTTGTCAGGTGCGTGTGCGGTGTTGTGTGTGTGTTGTGTGTGGCGTGTGCGGTGGTGTGTGTGTGCGCGCGCGGTGGCGTGTGTGGTGTGCGGGCAGAGAGGCGTACTCTTTTCGATTTGGGTGTTGGCCTTGACGGGGAAGGTGCCGTCGCTCACTTCGTTCTGCTTCGAGCGCGTCACCTTGATCTTCTTGCCCATCTGGTGCGTTTCCTGGATGAATATTCGGCAGCTCTTGAGGTCCTTCGACGACTGGTTGTTGACTTTGACTGTGGTGCGAGGAAAGAAAAAGCGAAAAGCGAAGAGCGAAGAACGAAGATTAGGGTCGAGGCACGCAGACAAAGGCAAGCGAACCAAGGAGAGAGATGGGGCTCGTCGTAGTAGTACCGGTGATGAACAGGTCGGCTCCGGCGCGCCAGGCGGGCTTCTTGGGGATGGCGCACTGGATGTGCACGAACTCGGGCTTACGGAAAGCGCGCTTGATGGTCTTCGTGATCTCCGTGATCTCCTGGCCTCGCGCGATGTAACTGCATTCATGCATCCCCAACACCGTTAGCACAGCGCGCCAACGACGCAACACGCAACACGCAACACGCACACACCTGGTGGTCTCGATGGTCTCCTCGTCCTCCTCGTCTTCGTCATCTGAGTCCTCCCGCCTCGCGACGGGCTCGTCGGCGTAGTCGACGGTGTCGTCCACGTCCTGGCCGTCGTCGCCCTCCTCCTTGGGCATGGTCTCCAGGAGGGCCTTGAGCCGCTTGGCCACCTCCTTGAACTCCGGTCGCTTGGGCGGCTCGAACGCCGCACAGTCGCACAGCAGCTTCCACAGGGGCTCGGGCGTGTCCTGTATCAGAAAAAAGAGAAAGATCAGTGTCGTGTGCGTGTGTCGTGTGGTGTGTGGTGTGTCGTGTGTGTGTGTGTGTCTCGTAGGTCGTGTGTGTCGTGTGTGTGTGTTGAGGGCGCCCGAGCGGGTCGAAGTCACGAACGGGAGGAATGGTCTGCTTCATCTTGGGGGCGTCCCAGGCGTAGGCGTCCTTGAGCTTGCGCGGCGGGGGCTTGTCCCTGACCAACAGCTCGTAGAGCACCATGGCGTAGGAGAACACGTCGGCGGATCGGTCGTAGGGGTCCTGCATGGCCACCTCGGGCGCCATCCACTCGTTCGTGCCGACTGCGCAAAAGAGAGAAGAACGAAAACGAAGAAGAACGAACGCGGAACGAAACGCGAGAAGAGGGGAGGGGAGAGTCGGTTGGTGGGGTGAATCAAAGAGCAAGGGCGGAGAGAGAGAGAGAGAGAAAGGGTCGCGTTGAAGTGAATTTGAAGTGAGAGACGGCGATACATACGAACTAATGTAGTGTGCCGCAGGAGAAAGAGAGAAGTGGAGTGAAGAAGAAGAAGAAGAAAGACGATGTCACCAGAAGAGTAGTTGTAGAGGAAGAGAAGGAGCGGAGAAGGAGGAGAGTGGGCCAGGGTGTGCAGAGGTTGAATTTGAAACACAGAGGAGGCGTGGCACTGGGGTGAAGAAGAGAAGAGAGATGGAGAGGCTCCTTACCGGTGGTGATGTATTGGTCCTTCTGGGTGGGCGAGGTACGAGCCAGACCGAAATCGCACACCTTGATCCGACCATTGCCTCCAATCTTGTAGTGATAAGGGGAGAGAGATTAGAGTCAATTACTGAGGAGGGGTAACATTCAGATCCATTGAGTACTTACCAACAAATTGGGCGACTTGAGATCCCTGTGCATGATGTTCTTGTGGTGCAGGTAAGTCATCGCGAGGGCTACGTCGAGCGCATATCGGACCCTGCGTGATTAAGGAATTGAGCATTATCATTCAATTTGAATTGAATGGGACCTATGCGTAGAACGTACCTGAGCGTCCAGGAGAGGGCCACGGTCTTCTCCTTGAGCTTCTTACGTAGGTTGCCGCCAGTCACGAACTCGGTAACGATGTACACGTCGTTATTGTCGGTGCAGATGCCCATCAGCTGCACAATGTTGGGATGCGTGAGGCCCCTGCATGCGTGGAAGATCCAAGGAGAACAGACATCAGACCAATGGTTGCCAAAATGAGCGCTGACGATTTCAGCCGCTACTCGAATTGTTTTCTTGACTTCGGGGGGGGGTCAAGACGTACGTGAGGGTGTCCATTTCGCGTTCAATGTACTTCTGCATGAACTCATCGTCGGTGAAGAACAGACGCTTGATGGCGACATCGAGCCCCAGGTACTTGCCCACCCACACCTCGCCGAAGTTGCCCTTGCCGATGCGCTTCTCGAGCGACAGCTCATCGAACGCGACCTTCCAACGTGCCATCTTGTATCGCCTTTCCTTCTTCTTTGTTGGCCGTACGTTGGACTCGTTGGTCTCCTTGGTCTTCTCTTTGGTCTCCTTCTTGTTTGAACGGGTTGGCTTGACTCTCTGTTGGCCGTTGTCGAGCTTCTGTGGTTGGGGCACCACACAGACCAGATTAATTAATATAATAACTCAAATTCCTTGAGCGCGGTGGTGAAGTAAGCAGACGGAACGATGATTGGTGTATTTTAAATGTGTAAAGGGCTGATGCTGATGGGCCAGCTGGGCAGAGGAGGGATGACCTGCCCGGCCCATTCGAGCAGCGAGTTGCGCCTCCCTCCGGGCGGCGGGAGCTCGGCGAGAAGCGGCCCTTCCTCTACCAGGCTCTCCGACGTGTGCGCGTCCGCAACGCTGGTGAAGCACTCGAGGCGGTCGTCCGTGGTGGATGACCGGGCGTGCATGGCGCCCGACTCCCACTCCCACTGCCGCTCCAGGGCCTCGAGCAGGTCTTCGCCCTCCGTCTTCACGCAGCCCTGATCGCCACTCGTCCGCTCCTCCGCTGCGCAATCTGCCCACGAGCAAGTGGTGGTCGTGGCGGTCTTGCTCGGGGGCTCCTCCGCCGTAGGAGCCAAGAGCTCAAAGAAAGGGAGCGCCAAGGCCATCAGGTCCTCGCTCGATCCGCTCAACCCGGGCCTCATCTCGCTCGCACTCTCGTCGTGCTCACTCTCGTTTTTGTGTTGACCGGCCGCCACCTGGAGAGGATGCCTCTTGATGACGCCAACGCCGCTTCTGGCGCTGGCCTGGCGGCTCGGGGCGGGCTTGACCGCTTGCACGGCCTGGGCAGTACCATTTCGTCGATGCCGTAGCCCGACGTAGTACTGGGCCACATGGCCCCGCGGGCCGCGGCGCTTGGTGCGGACCTGCGGGAAGGCACGCTTGACCATCTTGCCCATCACCGGCCGCGTGAACATGACGGGTCGGCCCTCGCGGCTGCACATGTTGACGTAGGCCCGATAGACGACGCCCTTGCTCACCCCCACGAGTTCTTGTGGTCCCTCATCTGACGACGGGTCGGCCTCCCAGTGCTCCAGCCCCTCGGGCGTCTCAAAGTTGTTCTTGAGCCTGTCCCCCCCCACAAGAAAAATCTTGAGCGTCTCTGCGAGGTAGAGGGTGTAGGCAAGCGAGAGATGATGACGCACCAGAGTACGACCTGGCAGGTGTGCAGCTTCCTCTCGAGGTTGGCCAAGTCGCTCATGGTGATGATAATGATCAGTGTGGCCCCAGCTGGTGGTTGTATGCGAAGTGGTCCGTATCGGTGCCGCTAGCGTAGAGAAATGGCATGTAGCAGATTGTTAGAGTGACCTGGCAGCTCGACCGAGCTGTGGCGTGCATACCAACTACGCCAAGGTGTCACGTCGATCGGAGGCAGCGGGGCCATCTTGAGTTCATCCCTTCTCCATTTAAAGCCGGTTCGCACTGTCGTCTCCAAGCTGCCCACCGAGTTCTCCCGGCCTTCTCCTCCTGCTCTCAACCGCGCGGAGTCCTTGTTCTCAATCCTGCCTCATGACCTTAGCTGCCGTTTTGCTCATGATGCCAGGTGGCATCAGCTTTCTGGGACACTTCCCAAGAGCCGCCCACAGACAAGGAAGGAATGCAAGCGCACCACCATATTCCACGCGGACACGCCAATCAGCGTCCAACGTCACCTCCCAGTGCAGCTTGGCCGGCGGGACAAGCAGTGATGCGGCTCATGACACATTGAATGTAGAACGTAACATGAACATGACAGCTAGAGTGCATACCAAGATCGTCAACCTAGTTTATGGAATTACACTTGCGTGGTGTGTGGGAGCTGCTGCGCTGGCGGCCGGGGGGAGGGGTGGTCGCCGGGAGGTGGCCGCGGCGCTTCTGTGGCTCTTCGCTGCTCGTCGCTGCAATCATCCGCCCGGCCCAGACGTTGTGGTCTGTACAGCGCTCATCCGTTCTCCGTCTCTCGCCGGCCGGCGACTGACCCGGTCCCTCCCTCGGAGGTCGCGGGCGTCGCTCGCTCACGGACGCGTCGGGGCTGTGGTGGAGATTGTGGGCCGGGCTGTGATGGTGCAAATGCTGCCGATGGTTTGGTTGAGGGTGTGGCTGAGGGTGTGGTTGTGGCGGCAGTCGTTGTAGCGGTTGTTGTTGATGGTGATGGTGGCGGTTGGGCGAGGCAGTGGTCTGACGAAGCGGGAGAAGGTAGTCGGGCACGATTTCGCTTGCGACCGGCTGCGGTGACAGTTCGTAGTCCGGCGGCATTGGATGCTCGAGGTACTGCGGCTCGACCGTCAGATGTGAATGAGGTGGGCTGTATTGTTGTGGTTGGTGCTGCTGCTGCCAGTCGTAGTTGAAGCTTCTACGCTCCTCCTCCCGATGGTGCTGCTGCTCCAGCTGCCACCGCATCTGGTGGTAGTCGCCCAGGTCCGGCCCGTGACACGGGAGCGCATACGGCTGCGGTGGATCCATTCGGTTGTGGCCCGCCAACGACGGCTGCGGCGGCTGCGACGACGGGTTGTTGTGTAGCTGGCCCTGGTGGTGATTGTAACTGCTGTGGACCGCCGGCTGGGCCTGGGCTTGAGCGGCGGCAACGGCGGCCCGGTCGGCGCAGGAGGTGCTGGTGGAGTTCGTTACAGGGACCCCGCTCTGCTCAGGCGTGGTGCTGTTCAAACTCGACGACGACAGCGACAGCGACGGAGATGAGTGCGCCTGCGCGGGTGGCTGGGCGAGGTCCTCGTGGCTTGGGCCACTGGAGTCGTCCGAGAGTAGTAGCTCATCGTTGGTGAGCTGATGGAGACCGATCCAGTGCTGCTTGACGTTGGTGCGCGGCCCACGGCGACGGGTCTGAATCGTGGGAAACGCGCGCTTGACCATCTTGCCCACGACAGGCCGCGAGAAGAGCGGCGAGGCGTCGGTCGTGCCGCACATGGCGATGTAGGCCTGGTAGAGGGCCTCCTTGCTGATCGTGATCTCTTGCTCGTCCGCGCCTGCCTCGCCGTCATCGCCGTCACCGCCCTCAGCGTTGTGCGGCTTCACATGCTGAAACGACCGCCGCAGCCTTCATGTGCGGACGATGGGTGGGTGGATTAGGTGGTAAGTTGGATGTGATATTCATCTTGTGTTATTACTTGCAAGTGCATAAGATGTCGTTGCACATCCCAGGATATAAATAACAGAGGGGGTGGCCTGCATCTTGCCTCGGTGTATTCGTTGACATCCAGATGTAACAGAAGGAGGTGGTTGGTGGAAGGGAGGAAGACTGCGTACCAGAGGATGACCTGGCATGTGTGTAGCTTTCGTTCGAGATGTGGCAGCTCGCTCATGGTGGTGGCCGAGAGCGGCTCTCGGCGCTGGCTCAAAGAATCGAAGCTGAGGTGCTGAGAGAAGGTTGGATTAGAGGTTGATGCCTTGCTACCTCGAGTCAACGGAGTCGGTCTATGCAAAGATTGATTGCTCGTCGCTGGCGGAGTGCACGAAGCGAAGTGCCTGGCTGGGGTGGATGCACCCCTCCTTCTCTCTTTGAGATGAAAATAAAAATCGTTTCTCTTTGTCGAGTCGAGGTGCGGATGCCGGCGCTCTCTTGCGGTGTGTGCGTTGGTGTGTTGGAGCCTATTCCCTGGGACGAGCTGCGTTGCCGTGCCACTTAGCAGAGGCGAAGAGAAGGCCTGCAAAAGAGTTACACGAGGGAGCGAAACTGAGCGAGGTGGGTGGGAGGTTCGTGAGGTTGCCACCCAAAAGGGGCCGAGAAGAGTGAAGATGAGAAGGCACTTCGTCTCTCTCACCAAGACAGGGAAGTACCAAATTCCGCGCCTTGTCCGGTATGTTCTTCTGGCGCCGGCACGCAGCTGCCACGTCATGTCTTTCCTTTTCCGCCACGTAGTCTTTCTTTGGCTTTTCTGTTTCTTTTCTCTAGTTTTCTTTTACATTTCCGGGGTCATCAGTCACGTCTGACCACGCCAGGAGCGACTCAAGGTCCTCCACCATCTCGCAGCCGCCTCGCTCCACGCCCGCCCACTTGACCGGAAGAGGTGGCCAGCTGCCGTTGGCCTGGGTGGTGGGCTCCGAAGAGGTGGTGGTGTCAATCACGGACGGGGGCCAGGTCTCAAAGTCGCTCGGCGCCTCATGTCGCCAGTCCCACAGGCTCTCCAGCGTCTCGAGCGGGATGTGCTGCGCCGGCGCGGGTTGTCGGATCGCGGGTGCAAGGCCGCCCATGGCCGCCAGCGTTGACGGCAGGAAGGGCGCCCAGATGGTCGTTGATGAAGTCGAATCCACGGATGACGTGGGCGTGGTAGAGAAGGAGTGAGAGTGACTTGACCGAGAGGCCGAAACAAACTGTACCGCCGCCCCAGCCTGGGGCACGCCGGAGCCCGACAGGCCTGGGGCTTGGTCGTCATCGCCGTCCACCTCCTCCTCGTCGTGCCCTGCGGCGCGGTGGTTCGAACCAATTCCTTCGTCGAAGTGCTCCGCGGTGGCGCAGGCCGCGTCGATCTGGGTCGGCTCGAGGAGACTCACGCTGGGACTCGAGCACGGTTCGGCTGCTGTGTCGGGCTTCGGCTCTATCGCGATGGCGACGCTGCCGTTGCGCTCCACCTCCGAAGTGCTCTGATAGAAGGGAGGCGAGTGTCTGGTGCTGCAGCTGATGATCGGCCGGAGGCCGATGTAGTGTTGAGTGACACGGCCGCGCGGGCCGCGGCGTTTGGTGCGCACGTCGGGGAAGGCGCGCTTGACCATCTTGCCCACGACGGCGCGCGTGAACAGGGTCGGTCGGCCCTCGCAGTGGCACATGTCGACGTAAGCCTTGTACACGCTGCTCTTGCTCACGCCGCAGGCCTCAGATCCGGTCTTGGTCTTGGCCCCATAAGGCTGCTGCTCCACTTGTACAAGAGGAGGCCGCTGCTCTTGCTCGTCGGCTTCGTTCTGCGCGTTGTCATTGTCGTCGTGGTCCGTCACCGCCTCAAAAGTTTGTTTGAGCCTAGTTGGTTGGACACACACAACGAAAGTGATTGGTCAGACAAGAGTTCACAACGAGTTGAGAATGAGGGGCTGTGTTCCCGTGGAATCTCAAGGCCTATTGAACGTGGGACTATCCCTCCAGCAGCCAGGTTGGGATGGAGGGAGAGAGAGAGGAGGCGCAAGCTAGGGACGTACCAGAGGATGACCTGATAGCCATGCAGCTTCCGCTCGAGTTGAGTGAGGTCGGACATGTTGAGTGTGTCTATCGCAAGTGGGACAGTGCAGGAAATGTTGTTTGGTGTCTCATTTTTTTGAATCAAGTGGCCTCGGCCCGGGCCAGCCAAGACGTGCCAACGAAAATCACGCAGCCGGCCAGTCACACACGATTCTTCTCCACGCAAAGAGGAAGGCAAGAGCACGCAAAGTGGCGGAAACGGAGGTTGATGATGGAACTTGCCTAACCAGGAATGTTGGCCTTTGGAGACATGTCACCAACTAACTGACTTATTGTTCAGCTCTCGGCATGCCAACATGCCAGCCGCCACGGAAGTGCATTCCGTGTGCTCTGTTGGCGCTCGCCGATAGTGAAGGCTCTCCACCATCTGTTTGAATGCTGATTCGGCCGCCAGGCTTTGAATTGGCTGTGGCTGCAATTCCACAATTACGAAAAAATCATTGCACAAAGAAGAAAAGGCCAACTTGTCGGTTGGCCAACTGTTGAGCGCGCTTGCCACTGCCGTTCTAAACGAAAGGTACCCTACCCTCTTTTCTTTTTCCATCCTGTTCATTTTGATCGAATTCAAAAATCATCCACCCCCTGCATGCGTAATAATCGAATCTGATCACAACAAATACGTTGAATTAATCCACCACTAAAGGTTTTTTTTTAACATTTGAAGAATGGAAGGCGATGGCTCGGACGAGCGGATTCTGGCGCTGGCCGAGCCCTTTTTGTGCGGCGGCGAGCAGCCGGTGATGCACGCCCGCGTGGTGCGGGAGCAGGCCATGCGCACCCTTCTGTCGCCGCCCTCGGGCGCGTCGTCCCCGGCGCTCGGCCAGCTCGTCATCACCAACTTTGCTCTTCTCTTCATTGTTGAGCGCTCCTCGACCTCCTCCTCCAGCTCGAGCAGCGCCACGGTACGTCGAATACCTGCCAGCTGCCCTGTGGCCTGGTCAGCTTACATTCACACGCCGTGCTCACATTGACGCGCTTTTGCAAACAGAAACGTGATGTGAACGACTTGTGGTGGAACAGCCTGGATTTTAAGGTGCCCCTCGGCGCCATCAGCAGGTACGACTTGATTTGCTCTTGCCAACTCTCTATCCTCTTAATTCCTCTCACCGCACACATCATCGCACACGCACACCCACGCACCGCACACGCACACGCACACGCACAATGCAGGGTGGAAGCAAAAAAGGACAAGTACGTGCGCATCCACTGCAAGGACTTCCGCCTGCTCCAGTTTACGATGCCCTACACCCTTGCTGATCCGACCAACACCAAGAAGCAAATGGTAAATAACAATCCATAATTATAATAACCCACAGTAATACTAATTCTACTAATTCGTTGGTCGCAGGAGTTGACCATGCGCAAGATCGAGAGCACGCTTCGCATGTTTGCCTTCTCGGGCAAGCTCAAGAATTTATTTGCCTTCAGTCACACCCTGTCCACGAAGCACTGCGTCAATGGTACCTACAGGCGCCATCTCATGCGTTGTGTGTCGTGTGTGTCGTGTGTCGTGTGTTGTGTTGCTGAGTTGCGTGATGGTCGTGCGCGCGGTAGGGTGGGACCGGGCCAACGTCAGAAAGGATCTGCAGCGGATGGGCCTCCCCACGGACAAGTGGCGCATCTCCGACTCCAACCACTCCTACCTCATCTGCCCCACCTACCCGTCCGTCTTCGCCGTCCCGGCCAACGTCAGCGACATCACCCTCCACAAGGTTTCCTCTCTTCCACATTTTTTTATTATATATATATATATATTTACTATTTTTTAGATTATATTAATATTACAATTAAAACTATTTTTCTATAATTTAACAAATTGTGAAATTGTGCAGGTGGGTGCGTTCAGGAGCAAGGGGCGGATTCCTATATTGTCGTGGATTCACCCCAAGAACGAGGCCACCATCACGCGAGCCGCACAGCCGCTGGTGGGCATCGGCGGAAGCCGTTCGACCGAAGACGAGCACCTCATCAAGGAGATCATACGCGCCACCCCCTCGGTACCCACCACCCACTACCACCTTAGTCGCTTTCACTGAATTGATGTTGACTCTGCGTCTCTCTCGACCAATCAGTCGGCGTTGGTTATCATGGACGCGCGGCCCAAGGTGAATGCTGCCGCGAACAAGGCCCGGGGCGCTGGCTACGAGACGATGTCGCACTATGCGGGTGAGATCAGCGGAATGTCCGAGGACGCAATCGCAGGTACCCACCACCCAGAAGAAGCCGGCGGCTTCACCACCTTCGACGCCCACGTTGCTCAAATACGTGGTGGTGGTGGTGGGTGGTGGTGGTGGTGAAGCAGTGGCCGAGGTGGAGGGCCTCGAGGGCGGCATCGGACAGAGCGGCGCGCTGGAGTTCCTGGGGATCGATAATATTCACGTTATGCGGGACAGCGAGAAGAAGCTGAAGGACATCTGCAACCACCTCAGCGTTCAAGACAAGGGCTGGTTCACCGCCCTCGACAACTCTCGGTACCGCACACTTCGGCGCACCGCACGACACACCCCACTGCACACTTCGCTCGGGCGACTGACCCTGCGCGGTTGGCTTTCCAGGTGGCTCGATTTCGTCTCGCTGCTGCTGGCCTGCACACGCCGGATGGTGCTCACCATCGAGGCCGGCATCTCCATTTTCACACACTGCTCCGGTGCGCCAGCTGTCCTCCTCTGTCGCGTGTCGTGCGTCGTGTGTCGTGCGTCGTGTGTGCCCTGCGCTGATCACAGCTGTCGATCGAGCAGATGGCTGGGACCGCACGTCGCAGCTGTCGGCGCTGGCCATGCTCTGCCTCGACCCGTTCTACCGCACCATCGAAGGTTTCGCCACCTTGATCGAGCGCGAGTGGCTCGCCGTTGGGCACAAGTTTCAGCAACGGGTACCCGCTTTCCCCATCAGTGCTCATCGCTCGTGTAGTAGCATGTACTAAACTTGTGTGTGTGTGTGTGTGTGTCGTGTGTGGTGTGGTGTGTGTGTGTGTGTGTGTGTGTTGTGTGTAGTATGGGCACGGTGACAAGCACTACGACGACAGTAATCGGTCGCCCATCTTCCCCCAATTCATCGACTGCGTGCACCAGCTGCTTCATCAATTTCCCACATGTACGCCCCCCCCGCACACAAGAGCAATCTCTCGTCTCCTCCACCTGTACAAACAAGCCCTCATCGTCTTGCCTGTCGCGTGTCGTGTTGCGTGTTGCGTGCTGCGTGCTTGTCATTCCGATCAGGCTTTGAATTCAACGAGGAATTCCTGGTGACGATTTTGGACGCCCTATACTCGTGCCAGTACGGCACTTTCCTGTGCGACTCAGAGAAGGACCGGTTCGTTCAGTTCCCCTCTCCTCCTGGTTCTCCTGTTCGGTCTGGTGCGTGTGTGCCGGACTGATGGCCGGACGGTCGTATGTGCGCCGGGCCTGCAGGCAAGCGGCGCAGCTCCACTCGAAGACCGTCTCCCTGTGGAGCTACACGGACAAGCACAGGGACAGGTTCACCTCGCGCGCGTACATCCCCTACGATCAGGTACGGTAGCCAATCAAATCGTGTGTGTGTGTGTGTGTGTGTTGTATGTGTCGTGTGTGTGTGTGTGTGTGTTGCACCGTGGTGCTGACTGTGGTTGCTGGTGTGATTGGGCCACAGGTTCTGGTGCCCCTGAGTCTCGCAAAGCACCTCAAATTTTGGAGCCTCTACTTCATGCGTTTCTGCCGCTACAACGAACACAACGCCGACAGGTCCTCACTTTCCCGCACGCACGCACGCACGACACGCACACACCCACCGCACACGCGCGCAACTATGCTTACGCACGCGTGCGTGTTCGATCAGATGGTGCCGAGACAACATGCTCATCGCCGGGGGCAAGCCGGCGAGTGGCAAAAAGAGCAAGAAGGCCGCGGCCGCGGCCGGTCTCGGCAACGCCACTGCGACCGCCGACGGCCAGCCGCCGCCGGACGACCTTCTGCAGCACCTGGCCGAGCGGGAGCGGTGGAAGAAGGAGCTGGCCGGCCGCGAGGCCGAGGCCAAGCGGATGAAACGGCTGGCCGAGAAGCACATGGAGCACGCGCTGCGGCTCAAGTCGCGCTTGGCCTACGAGCGCAAGCGCGCCGCGTTCTTTCTGGAGCGGCTCGACCAGGCCACGCACCAGGGCAGCGACCAGCTCGAGCTCGAGTGGAAGGCCGAGTGGAAGCAGCGGCGCGAGGCCGGCGCCACGGCCGACGATGACGACGACGACGACGACTTAGACGATGATGACGACGATGATCTTGACTCGGAGTCGGACGGCAGCGAGATCGACGGCGGCAAGAAACACAGCGGCCAGCACAAGAGTACGAAAGCGACGGCAAACAAGAAAACGAAGACGAAGAAAAAGAAGAAGAAGAAAAGTAAGGAGGAGGAGCCGGACGAGCTGGTCGAGTTCTTCATTCGTTCGCCGGGCCAGCGACGCATTCCCGCCGCGCCGTCGTCGCTCGTCCCGCCGCTGCCGGCGCTCTCGGCCTCGTCGGTAGGACCCAGCCCCAGCAACTCGCCTCGGCCGCCGATGCCGTCGCCGCCGTCGCGTCGCCCGCCACCGCCACCGCTCGGTGGCGCGTCGTCGGCGACGACCACCCCGTCGCCTCCCTCGTCGAACCCGTCGTCGGCCTCGTTTTCGCCGTTGCCGTCGCCCTCGACCCGGCCACCGCCCATTCGCTCGCCGCCCTACGCCCTGGCCGCGCCCCTTGCCGCCGAGCCCGCTCCGCCCGCCACCGCCGCCGCCCCCTCGCCCATGTCCTTCGGCGTTGTACGGTACCGTTACGTGATGCGTGCCGTGCGGTGTGTCGTGTGTGTGTGTGTGTGTGTGTGTGTGGTGTGTGTGGTCGTGTGTGGTCGTGTGTGCTGACCTGGGGTGGATGGCGAACAGAGCGTTCGGCCAGACGGCAGTAGCGCCGCCGGCAATGTCGCCGCGCAGTGCGGCGGCGGACGAGAGCCTTGGCGCCGTCCCGATGCCCGAGGGCAAGCTCTCACTTCACCGCCAGATGGGCAAAAAGCTGATCCCCTTCCTCATGCGCCGACCCACCAGGTACGTGTGCGGTGGTGCGTGCGTGCGTGCGTGCGTGCGTGCGTGCGTGCGAGGCTGACTTGTGATGGTGCCTCATCCCAGGGATGACCTGGTGGCGCGACGCATCCTGCTGCCGGCCGAGGAAGACATCCTGATGGCACTCAACGGCGAGGGCCGGGGCAGCATCGACGAGACAACCACTACGGGCAGCCCCTACACGTCGCACGGCGCCGACGAGTCCGAGGACGACGACGCCGGCACGCGGACGCCGACTAGCTCCCCGGCGGTGCTGATTGATGACGTGGACGACATGGCCGAGACCGACCGCGACTTCCTCCTCCGCGCGGCCTCGTCGGCGGCCGCCGGCAGAAACAAGGGCAGCTACAGCAGCAGCAACACATCATCGGGCGCTGCTGACGTGGCATCGCCGCAGCCGCCAGCGCCGTCGCCGTCGTCGACGTCGAGCCTGGCGTCGGGCTCGTCGTGGCTGTCGTCGTCCCAGGCGACGCGCGGCAAGATGGCGGCGCCGGCCCACGTGCCCTTCACGCCGGCGCACCATCGCAACGGCAACGGCCCCGCCGGGCCACAGCTGCAATCGCAGCAGTCGGCAGCGGCGTCGTCGCTGCCGGAGCCCAAGCGCGGGCTGATCCAGCGCTTCGTCTCGGAGAAGAACATCACCTCCACCAACATCAACAAGGTACGATTCAACGCTCATGACACGACACACACGACACACACGACACACACGACACACACGACACACACGACACACACGACACTCATTCACTTCTTCTTTGTACCTGCAGGCCGGGTCACGACCATGAAAACAGCGAGTTATGTAGTTGATCTTATCTTTTATTCATATATTCGAATTCTCATGTGTTCTGTGGAACGGTAACATTGGTTTGCTCTTATGGTCGTTTTTGGCTAATCACTGACCCCTTGTAACGCGCCGGGAGCGACCAGCCGCTGACGAACCGCGTGTTGCTCGTTGGCTTCGGCACAATGGTACAGCCCAAACCACCCCAAGCCAACGTTGAACAACAGCAACAAACAATATCTTATGCACTTTTTATAATCTTAACGATGGAGGCGATGATGCAGCAATCCGATGCCAAGCCCGGCCCAGAGGCACCCTGGGTGGTCAACATCCAGGAGCTCTTCAAGCGCTACGACCAGCGCTACTTCCACTCTCTGGTGTCATCCCGCGCCACACTCGCCTGGAGCGGCACCCTCAAAACGTTAGTCGCTCTCTCATGTGTGTGCGTGCGTGCGTGTGCGGTGCGTGTGTGCGGCTGAAGAGTTATTTGTTCCCCCCCCCTTCTTTTCTTCTGCAAGCGACACGGGCAAGTGTTTGGTCCAGTCGGAGCAGGAGGGCGGCGGGGTGTTTGTGGACCTGAGCGAGCCCATCCTGCGCTACTGCACCAGGCAGGACGTCATCGACGCTCTCCTGGTACATGATGTCTCTTTTGTGTGGTGGTGCCTGTGCTACGTGCGTGTGCGTGTGAAACGACTGAGTGTTGACCTGCGCTGTCGCGCCGCAGCACGAGATGATCCACGCGTACCTCTACCTGACGGACGACCCCGACTGGAAGCAGCACGGCCCCTCCTTTATCCAACTCGCCGAGTACGACTCATCGCCCCATACGACACGCAACACACTCAACAACACGACACACGCACGCACACACGCACGCCACACACACACACTCACCCGCGCGTACCCGGCACACGTTCATGCCGATGTGCTCGTGTGTGTGGCGCGCAGAACGATCAATCAGGCGGAGGGCGCCAATGTGCAGCCGTATCACACGTTCACGCGGGAGGTGGCCTTCCTCAAGCTGCCCGTGGCGAGCTGGCCCTCATCGCCACACAACGGCCTCCGCGAGCTCACCACCGACGAGAAGGAGTCCCAGCGCCAGTACATCGGTACCACCATCCACCGGTGGACACACAACCTTCCTTCCATTCATTGATCTTCATTCTTCGTCGTCACCGTCGTCTTCGTTCTTCTTTTCGTTGTATGGTGAGCAGGCAGGCACTCGGGCGAGGGCACGCAGGAGCGTCCGGTCCTGCGGCTCGTCTGCGACGAGTACTACAACCGCGGCCAGCAGTCCCCCACCTCCCACTACTCGGCCATCCGCAGGCCGCAGCCCTAAACGACGTTATCCCTTCGTTATTTTTTTGGCTTTACGAAAAGACAATCTGAATAGAATTTAATTTAATATTATATAAAACATACATACTAGGAAGGCCTGCCTAGTGGCCCACGAGAGCGTTTCGGGCCAGGGCTTCGTCGGGCGAGAGGGCTGACGAGGCGTCGGAGAGGTGGTAGCCGTGGTCGCTGCCGGCCGAGCCCTCGCGCAGGTCGACCTTCATGTTCCACGGGATGAAGGAGGTCTTGTTGCCCGCCGCCTCCACGATCTCGCGCGTGGCGCGCATGACCGCCAGCTGTCGCGCCAGGGCGGTGTCGGCCTGCAGCCGCGCGCCCTTGGCCCGCTGCTCGGCCGTGTAGAGCTCCGCGTCGGCCTTGACCCTCGCCTCCTGCGCCAGACCTGCACTCCAGCAGTGTGAGTGATCAAGAAGACCACGAAGAAGATGATGCTGCTGATCATTGTTGTAGCGGTGGTGATGATGATGATGACCATAGTGCTGAGTGTACCTTGGGCCTTCTGGATGCCAGTCTGGGCCTGGGCGGCGATGTTGGCCCGGTTGGAGGCGGTCTGGAGCTTGTTCGAGGCGCGCTGGGTGAGGAGATCGCGCAGGGCCGAGTCGTGGAACTCGAGCTTCTCGATGCTCATGTCCATCAGCACCACGCCCCACGTCGTCACATATTCCTACACCCACACAAAATCAGTCCCACACGAAGTGAGAATTGTTTTTCTATTATATTAATGTAATAGAATGTATAAATAATCAACAATAAGGTAAATACAAATACAAATAAGGGAAATGATAAATAATAAATAAGAATTATAATAATCAAGAAAGCGTACCCGCAATTCGTCCATGAAGGCCTCGCGCACGATCTCGCTGAAGAGCGACGGCGTGCTGATCTCGCGCTGCTTGCCCATCTTCTTCTTCTTGCGCCTGGTCAGCTCGTCGTCCTTGTCATTGTCGTCCTGGTCATCATCGGACCCGAATCCCGGGTCCTCGAGCGACTCGTGCCGGCCCGACGGCAGCGTCGGCGCGATCTCGTCCAGCGAGTGGTGCAGGAAGATCGACGTCACCAGCGCCTCCGCCTTCTCGAACAGCGCCTCGCTCACATTGCTCACATCCTACAATATAATAAAAGAAAATAACATATCAGAAGTGTGCGTGGATGGAGCTTATGAGGAGTGTGCGTGTGTGTGCGTGTGCGGTGGTGCGTGTGCGGCCAAATGCGTGTGCGTGTACCCTGAAGGCGCGGACGGGATCTTCGATGCGGTAGGTGATGATGGTGTTGACCATGATGGCGATGCCGTCGTTGGTGTTGACCTTGAGCGGCTCCAGCCGGCGCACCTGCTCCTGGACCGAGACGAACTCCTGGAAGCGGAATGTGGGCGACGTGCGGATGTGGAGGCCCGGCAGCAGCACCTCGAGCTTGCCCGTGTCGTACGAGATGCCCACCTGGCCCTCGTTGACGATGATGCGCTTGATCGGCCCGAGCTCAATGTAGGGCGCACCAATGTCCTTGGCCTCCTGGAACACGTGCGGCGCCACCAGTATGTGGCGGCCGGGCTCCAATATGATCGTCTCTCCGTTCTTCCAGCTCAGACCCAGCTGGCCCTAAGAAAGAAAGACAAAGGTTAAAAGCCGCACACGCCGCACACGCAGCACACGCCGCACGCGACCGCACACACCAACCTTTTTGATGGTGACGACGGTGATGGGACCGAATTCAATGAGGTCGTCGTTGATGGACTTTTGCTCGACGAAGCTGTGGAGCGGCGACAGGAGGACGTAGCGGCCGGGCCGCAGGATGACCGGCTGGCCGCTGTGCAGGGTGAGGCCCATGCTGCCCTCCTGGATCAGCTGCATCTTGCTCAGCACGTAGAGCGCGCCGAGGCCGGTGCACGCCACCAGGCCGACGCCGAGCGCACCGCAGGCCGAGCTGCTCTGGACGAAGCCCAGGTCCTCCAGGGCGTCGAGCAGGCTCACCCCGTCCTCGATGCGCGTGTTGGTCGACGTCTGGAAGCCCAGATCGCTGCCGGTTCCCGCGCCTCCGCCGGCCTGCAGCTGCTTGTACCCGCCGCTGCCGCTGTCCTGTATGTTCATGTTGGCTGGTGCCGGGTGGTGGTAGCCTGGGTGGTTGCCGGGGGGGGGTGTTTGCCAGTGTAGGCCGGCACTGCAGTGGTTGAGTGAGAGTTGGGAAAGGACTGCACTACTTGAGGACGCTGGTTTGCCGCAATGGAATTTGAAAAGAAGAATCCGAGGTAGAATTGGCGAACGAAAAGTTACACCACTTTGCTGAAGACTGAATGTTATTGGGGGATCCTTTTTAGGAAAATAATGGTTGCAGTTTTCTTGAAAATTCGATATACGACAATTCTCAAAATAGGGCACATGTTCGCCAATCGCCGCAGGAATGACGAGTATCTCGCCGTTTTGCTCGGGTAGTTTCAATCCGTCACGCCGATAAGAACGCAATAAAAAGACCATCCGCCCTTATCGATCACATCCACAACCAACAACACCCACACACAACAACACCAACACTCACTCACAAGATGACCACCACCGCAGTGACCAAGCCCACCCTCACCTACTTCAACCTGCCCGGTCTCGCTGAGGCCCCGCGCCTTCTCCTCGAAGACGCCGGCGTCGACTACGACTACGTGGCCGTCGCCAACTGGGCCGAACTCAAGCCCGAGTTCCAGGCCGCTGGTACGCACCTTCACTCCACCCCCATTCACTCCAGCGTTGCAGCGCAGCACCCTTAAAGGAAAAGGAAACAAGAAAGAAAATAAGAAAATACAGAAAGAAAATAAGAAAATACAGAAAATAGACTGACCGTGGCGATGGCGCAGGCAAGGCGCCGTTCGGGCAGCTCCCCATCTATGAGGACCCGTCGGGCCTGTCGCTGGCGCAGAGCTCGGCCATCACCCGCCACCTGGCCCGCGAGCACGGCTACTACGGCACCTCGGCCCACGAGGCCGCGCTGATCGACCAGGCGGCCGAGGGCGTGGTCGACATCCGCACGCGCGTCATCCAGGCCGTGTTCCGCACCCCCGAGGAGCAGAAGGCCGAGGCCAGGGCTCAGTTGCTGGCCGACTACCTGCCCGGCCAGCTGGCCATCTTCTCCAAGCTCCTCGAGAAGAACGGCGACAACGGCTTCCTCGTCGGCTCCAAGGTACCACCAAAGATCAATCAAACAGAGCTGCTGACGTCATCCAGCCTGGCTCGAACCGAAGCATGTTGCTGACGTCATCCACCCTTTCGCTCATCTTCCCTTAGTTGAGCTATGCGGACGTGTACCTGTGGACGACGGTGGCCATGCTGAACACGCGCGTGGAGGGCAGCCAAGAGGTGACGGCCAAGTACCCGGCCATCACCTCCTTCTTCGACCGCTTCGCCGCTCGCGATCGCGTCAAGGCCTACCTCGCCCGCGACGTCTACGCCAAGAAGGAGTGAAGTTACAAACATTCTTTGCATACATATGTATTAAATGATAAATAAGAATGTCACCAAGACGGGGAGTGGCTGGGGCACACGTCCGGCGCGAGCAACAGCAGCGCGTCCTCGTCTTGGGCCGCCAAAGTGTCGGCCCAGGCCAGCAGTCGGTCGAGGTCCTCGTCGTCTCCCGCCGCAGACGGTGTTGCCACGGCCGACGTCGTCCAGCGGTCCAGCGTTGTTGTGGTCACCACTCGCTGGGTGAAGGTCGAGTCCCACTGCCTCTCGAGGTCCTTCCAGTCGTCGTGGCCGGCCATGTCTTGTTGTTGCTGTGGGTCTGTGGAGGGGTTGGCGACGCTCCACTCGCACGAGCCCGACGACCCGGGATCGCGGTCAAGTACGTCGCTAACGCCAACTTCCTCCTTGACCGGAGGCACAGCGAGCGCGTCGTCGCTGCAGCCCGCGGCTGGGACCGGTCGGGGGTCATAGGTCATGACGGAGCGACGCAGGCCGAGGTAGTACTGAGTGACGCTGTGGCGCGGGCCGCTGCGCTTGGTGCGCACGTCGGGGAAGGCGCGCTTGACCATCTTGCCCACGACGGCGCGCGTGAACAGGGCCGGTCGGCCCTCCCTGCGGCACATGTCGACGTACTCTCTGTACACGCTGCTCTTGCTCACGGCGTCCGGCTGGCCTTGTGTTGCGCCCCAATCCAGTTCGAAGGTTTGTTTCAGCCTGCAGTTGATTGGGGCCAGATGTGGGTGAGCTATCTGATCTGTGGAATTAACATTCAAGTTCACCGCGGCGGGAAGGCCGGCGCATACCAGAGGATGACCTGATAGCTGTGTAGCTTTCGTTCAAGCTGTGTAAGCTCAGCCATCGTGATGTGTTTCCGTTTGTGGGTGCGCGCGCGCTAGTGTTCTCTTGTGGTGTGGTCTGGAAGAAATGCAAGGGAGGGTCTCGCAGCTCCTTCTTATATCTTGAACTCTTCTGGGGCCGTTCTTGCGAAACTCTTGGCCACGACGAGCCGAGGCGCATACCTCACCAGTTCAGACTAAGGCTTGGAACGAGATCACGTTCATGTGGAACAAAAGACACAAACTGACAACCTTAATTCAAAAAAGGCATAAACCAGCCAGCAGCGTTGGACCGCGTCACTGGTGCCCGCGGACCGTAACAACTATGCGCACAATCGCAACTCAGACGTAATGCTGGTGCTCATGGCGAAGAAGACCAGAATCCTGATCTAAAGCAGCTGTAGCCCAGTGTCAGGACCTACCCAAGCTCTTCATCTTGACACCCGCGCCCCCAAGCCCGCAGGAACCCAACTGATTCTCAATGAAAGCTATGTTTGGCTGGCGATGGGTGCTAAAGGTGGCGGTGATGGTGGTTCGATGATGGACTCTGCCCAGGCCACCAGCGAGCTTCGTCGTCCCTGATCCAGGCCGCTCGGCCCCACGTCAGCGCACACCGAATCCCACGAACTGGTCAAGTCGCTCAGCTCCTCGAGCACGCACCGCCTCTCCGAGCAATCGAACGACGACGATGATGACGAAGAAGAAGGCGATGGAGTTGATGAGCGCCCGAGGGTATCACTCGATTGGGGTTCGGTTTTTGCTGAGTTCAGGCGGGGTTGGTGGGCCGCGGTGGTGGCCGTAGGCTGGGCCAAGGTGGCTAGTCGGATGCCGGTGTAGTGTTGGGCGACGCGCCCGGCGATGCGGAGGCGACGCGATCGCACCTGGGGGAAGGCGCGCTTGACCATCTTGCCCACTACGGCCCGGCTGAAGAGCGATTGTTGTGGGTCACAGAAGTGGTTGGTGTATTCATCGTAGACGCTCTCCTTGAGCACCACCTCCTCGTCGCGGTGACATACGACAGGCTCATAGTGCTCCTTGAGCCTAGCGGTTTTATATGGCACCTATCAGAGTAGATCTAAACTGTTGATGAACAAAAATATGCGGTTGGGGAGGGGCCTACGGGGTACCAAAGGAGCACCTGGCAGGAGTGGAGGCGACGTTTGAACTTCTGCACGTCGGCCATGACGTGTTGACGGTGGGTGGGAGTGGAAGCAGTGATGATGTGCCGAAATCAGCGCCAAGCCAACTGGTTTGTGCCAGTCGCGAGAATGGGGCAGATAGAGGACACAGAAGCTAAGGTCCAAGCCTAAGAGCCGGACGCAACAGCTTGTTCATATTCTGCCACATCTGAGATTGGGTTTACTCCGCGCAGTATTGCACCACATGTGACCTCTGCGGATTCCTCTGTCCACTTGAACTGGCTGGATCCACAGGGGGATTGTTGAGGCTGGCATTGGTCGATCTGCCAGGAGTGGTTTCCATATCAGAGCTCTATGAGAAGGAACATCAAATGGAAAACTCGGACCTAAAAACCCTGCGATAGTGGGTGCTTGGAACATGTTAGATTAGGCTACTAAACCCTCTCGGTTTGATTGGCTCCAAGCAACAGGAGACCAAAACTTGGGTGATCATGACGTGTACAAGTTGTGGGGCGTTCTGATTGCCGCGGCCCACCACAACCCAGCCACTAACGCGCCTGCGCCCACCGCGGGGGGTCGGGTTGCAGGCAAGCGCGGGATCCAGTTTCTCGTCGTGCAGTCCCCGACTTCGCCCCACCTCTCGGTTGAGCGCTCCCAAGAGGAAGGCGGCGTCGAGTTGGCCACGGGCGGGCTGGTCGAGCCGGACCACGGCGACCAAGACGAAGCTGGTGACGACGAACTAGGTGATGGTGATGTCGATGGTGATGTGTGCGATGAAGATAAAGATGAAGAAGAAGAGGTGAAGAGTGGTCGGATGCCGATGTAGAACTGCTTGGTGGTGCCCTTCACAGCAAGTCGGCGCGAGCGCACCGAGGGGAAGGCGCGCTTGACCATCTTGCCCACTACCGCCCTTGAGAACTGCGGCGGCGGGCCGTGTCCTTCGTCGACATGGTCGTTGTCGTTGTGGCGGTGGTGTACAGCTGCGGCGGCGTTGTGGCGGCGACAGAGGTGGATGGCGCCCGAACGTGTGAGCCCCCAGTGCACGCGTCAAGCCGGAGTCCGCGTGCGAACGTGGATCCACCGGATCAATCCATCGGATTCGTTGCAGACGCCGCGTGCGAGACTGCGCTCTCTCTTCCGCCGTCCCCAGCACGCACGGAACACGGCTCGTTCTGGATCTTGGTGCCGCGCTCTCTCGACGTGCGCTGTTGGTGTCAAGTACCGGCCCTTCCAGCCTCGTCATCTCGGTCCGATCACGCGAGTGTGCTGAATGTCAGTAGGTCCGGCCCGATCCCTTCGGCCGGACAAAAACAACATTTTTAATTACATCAATAAGAAGGCTGAGAAACAGTGCCTCAGACGGCCGGGAAGGCGAAGGCGGGGCCGACGACCTCGATGGGGTGCACCAACTTGCCCTTGCCGACACCCACCTCGATCTAATAATAATAATAATTTTTGTCGATGGGTCATGTGAAGCCGCGCGCGAGTGCGAGTGTGGGCGCGCACCTGGTAGATGCCGGGGTGCACGACTTTCTCCATGGCGCCGTCGGTGGCAACCGCCAGGGTGTCGGGTCCCGTGTTGAAGAAGATCTCCTTCGACTCACCTGCGAAAACCCGATGAGCCACGCACTACCGCACACGCACACCACCGCACACGCACACGCACACACCACCGCACACGCACACGCACACACGCACGCACGGCCCATGCGCGTGGGCCAGGGGGGCGGGTACCGGGGTTGAGATGAACCCTCTCGAAGGCGAAGAGCTGCTTCAGCGGGCCACGATCGGCGTTGTCGCGCGTGACGAAGGCCAGAACCACTTCGTCGCCGGCCACCGGCCCCACGTTGGTCACCCGCACGCGGAACGACACTGCCTCGTCCCTCGCTGCTGCGTGTCATGTGTGTGCGCGCGTGTGCGTGTGTGTGTTGTGCGCGCGTGTGCGTGTGTGCATGTGTGTGTCGTGTGCCGTATGTCGTTCCGCGTGCGCGTGTGCGATGGTGTAAGGTTGAGTGACGGAGCTGTGAGTGAGCAAGTAACACGGTACGCACCATAGGACTTGAGCGCGCTCGGTTGCGGCGTCGAGAGCCACTCAGTCTTGAACGTGGTGTAGCTCAGGCCGAACCCGAACTCCCACAGTGGTGCCTGAGCAGTCAGTGTCCGCCCACCCAGTCAGCGGTCATAAGAGCGCATTCCAGTCCCTGGGAAGGAATGAGTGGCCGGCGGCGGGGAGGCGTACGGGTCCGGTGTAGTAGCGGTAGGTGCGGCCCGGGTTGTTGCCGCTGGCGCGCATGCTCATGTTGGTGAGGGGCACCATATCCACGTAGTTCGCCGGCAGCACAGTCACCGGTAGGCGGCCTAGCAGTGTTGTCCCGTCAGTCTTGTTGTCTTGTCGACCACACGACACACACGACACACACGACACACACGACACGACACACGCACGCACGCATGCACAGACACAACAATAGATGATTCAAAGTACCGCCCGGGTTGTAGTCGCCGAAGAGCACATCGGCGATGGCCTGGCCGCCGTTCTCGCCCGGGTAAAAGGCGTCTACGATGCCGTCCACCTGGTCCTTAATCCACTCGATCGCCACCGCGCCTCCGTGCATCATCACCACGACCTGCCGCAGGAGGAAACTTGAGCCGCGCGTGCATCGTTTCGCATGTCGCGTTGTGCGCGTCGTGTGTGTTGTGTCGTGTGTTGCGTTGTGTGTGTCGTGTCGTACAGTGGGTGTGTTGGTGGCGACGATGGACTTGATGAGGTGGTCCTGCATGCCGGGCAGCGTGATGGCCACGCGGTCCTTGCCTTCGCTTTCGACAGACGTATTCAGTCCCAAAACGACAATCGCCACATCTGGCGTTGAACACCAATCGCGCAGCGGTGAGTCTTGAGCACATTCCACATACATTCCGCAAAGACCGCACAAGCAAGTTTGTGGTACCGGCAGCCTGGGCGGCCTTGACAGCTTCCGGAATGCCCGTGGTGTTGGTGCTGTCCACATCGCAGCCTTCGTTCGCGTGTGCGTGTGCGGTCGTGCGTGTGCGATCGTGAGTTGCGAGATGGGTGGTAAGTGGAATGACGAGAGAGAGGAGGTACCGAGGTTGTAGGTGACCAGAGCCTGCGGCAGCTTGGCCTTGATGGCCAGGTAGGGCGACACGATACAGTCGTACGTCCCGTCGTGGCACCTCGACCCATAGTAGTTACCCTGTCCAGCAATTTTCGGGCATCAGCCACACATAGACACACACAACCGCACACGCGCACTCGCCGTGCGTGCGTTACCATAGAGGGTGGGGAGCGCGTACGAGCATGGTCTCGGTGGCGTTGGCGTTGGGTCCGATGACAGCCACCCGCCTCACGCTCTTGCGCAGCGGCAGGACGCCCCGACGGTTCTGCAGGAGCACCATCGATTCGCGCGCCGCCTGCGTCGAACACAAGCAAAAGCAAAATGGAAATTATGCGAATCACGTAGAGATTGTCGGACATAAAATGAGAAGCGGGTGTGACTCTTTAAGTCCGAACCTGCAGCGCGAGGTCAGAGTGTTCGCGCGAGCCGACGACGGACGGCGGGTACTGCTTGTAGGGCTGCTCCGCGGGCGGGTCCCACATGCCCAGCTCCATGCGCTGACGGAACAGACGCTTCACGGCCAAACGCACCTCGTCCTCTGCCACCACCAAGTCAAGTGTGTGTCGTGTGTGTCGTGTAGTGAGGGTCGAAGGTGGGATTTGGGGGGTCGGGGGGCGTACCGGTAACCCTTCCCTCGGAGTGGGCCTTGCCCAGGTGCTTTTGGTAGAAGTCGCCACAGTTGAGGTCAGTGCCGGCGTGAAGTGCCACCGCACACGCCCCCTCCGGCGTCTTTGTGAAATGGCTGCAGCCATCGAAATGACCGCACACACACGCACACGTTAGCGACAAGGACCCAGTCATGGCTGGAGAAGAAAGGCACGCACTGGTTGTTGTAGATGGTGTCGACGGCATCACAGTCGGACACGACGTAGCCGTCGAAGCTCCAGCTGTCGCGCAGGATCGTGCGGAGGAGGAAATCGTTGGCGCACGAGGGCACCCCGTTGACCTTCCCCGAAAGAGGCGCCGTTCAGCGCCAAAGCCCGAAAGCACGCGCGACACACACGCACTCTTAGGCGCACAAGCGAGTACCGAGTTGTAGGAGCACATGATGGATCGGGCGCGGCCTTCGACAATGCAGCCCTTGAATGCGGGGAGATAGGTTTCAACGAAGTCGTAGTCGCTCACGATGGCCTGCCAGAGCCCGACCAACACGCCACCGAGAGGTTTGTTCGAGTCATGGCGGAAACAAAGAGAGCTCTGCTCGTGTCATGTATGGTGGGTCGTGCGTCAGACGTACATCGAACATGAAGCGGTCGTAGTCCTTCCACGCTTCAAGCGAGTAGGCGGCAAAGTGCTTGCACGTGCCCACCACCTGCGTTGCAAGCGCAATGAGGACAAGCAGGGTACACCCACACGACACACGCACGACCCATACGACACACACGACACACACACACCACAAATCTGATTCGACGATTGTGTGAGTACCTGCGGGTAGCGGGAGTCCTCACCCTCTTGCAGACCCCTCATGAAGTGAGCCACGTACTGGGCCGTCATGAAAGGGTCCTCGCCGGGCACCTACCAAACAACAACAACAACAACGCGTTGACCCTGAACAAGAATTCATGACACAGCGCTGAGGCGATGCCTGGTATGGGTACCTCCATGTTGCGGCCCCAGCGCGGGTCACGGTTGATGCTGATGCACACCATTGCATTTCGAAGCTGGTCAGTAAGCGAAAGAAAACAGAAGCGAATACTTGGGATTCTTGTCTTGTCTTGTTTGTGGGCTGGGTCGAGTACTTGATGTTGGGCGCCCAGAAGTCGAGCCCACCGATGCCCTCGTTGTTGAGCGCACGCGCTTCATTGGAAATGGCCCTCGCCATCTTGTGGATCTACATACAAAAAGTCACGCCCACTCCGTGAATAGAGCGACTTGCGCGCACGCGCACGCATGACCGCACACGACGCGGGGACCAAGGGCGCACCAGTTTCATATTGAAGGCGGCACCGAGAGCGCAGGGAGCGGGGAAGGAAGTGGGACAGTTGGTTCCGCACTTGGTCAACACGCCGTGCAGGCACTCGGTCCACTACACCCGCACGCACACGACACGCACGACACACACCACGTGACACACGCGACACGCGTGCAAGCTCAACTTTAGCCAAGTCTCGTCGCGCTCTCTGTGCGCGGAGTGATGATTACCCAATTGTAGGCGGGGATGCCGAGCGAGGGGACGGCGGGCGCCTGGTGGCCCATCTGCCCGATGAGCTGGTCCAGTGTCTAATCTCATTGACATGCATGCGGCGAATGTGGGTGAGCAGCACTCAGCACTCAGTTGCTCGCGCTACGTGTGGAAGCTGCAGGGTGCAATGATTGATTGATTACGTACCAACCGGGAGACGAGGTCATCGGTGCGCTGGCCCGCCGTGAGGCTGGTGTTGCAGAACGGCAAGTCCTTGAGCGGAGCGTCCTGCAGAGGCGTGGCCATACCACGGTCAACACCCCCCCTTCCAACAACAAATAATAAAGAATGGAAATAGTGATACTTTTATTTTTATTTTTATTTATTCTTGCATTTATTCTGCGGCCCTGCTTCCAGAAGGGTTGAGGGGAGCAGACCTGACAGGTGGGCACGTCGGCACTCTCGAGAGGCAGGAGGCCACGCGCGACAACGTTGCTCCTCGCTGCGGGAGGGGGGCCTGCCCAAGGCGAAGGGGGTGGACCCATAGTGGTCGCATCGCAGCACAGCGCGCCGAGAAGAACCGCCAGCACAAGCGGCGCTCCCAGCTGTAGAGTCATCTTCTGTATGGCTCTGCTCTGCGCGCGCTTCAGTGGATCTGTAGACTTGTTGTGGTTTATTTATTTGTATTTATATTTTTTATTAATAATAATTAAAAATTGACGTGACCCAAGACGGCCGCACAAGGAAGGAGAGTCTATTCACATCAGATGCGCGGAAGAGAAGGGAAGTAACAACAAACGAAGAAGAAGATGAAGAAGAAGAGCCGGCTGAGCGGCTCGGAGATGGGTGAATGTGGCAATTGAGGGTGTGTGTGGTCTTTTTTAGCAGTAGCAGCCGCCCTCCTGAGGCTGGGGCGTGGGCTGGTTGAGGTTGAGCGGCTTGGCCTTGAGTTCGGCCGACTGCGTCTCCAGATCTCGGTCCATCCTCGTCGGAATCACACGCGCTGTGCGTGTGCGGTGATGCGTGCGTGCGTGTGCGGTGGTGCGTGTGCGGTGGTGCGTGTGCGAGAGTAAATAAAAGAGAACTGGTGCAGCGGAATAGCAGAAGGGGAGGTTACCCAGCTCGAGGAAAACTTCGTTCACGTTGAATGCGTTCTTGGCCGACGTTTCGAAGAACAGAAGGTCCTGTGCAGCCGCGTATGCCTGACCTTCCTCGCTGCATTGATCATTGACCGAGAGGAATGTGAGGTGTGCTGTGACGGATTGACACAGACGACTGCAGTTGGGGTCGTGTGTGTGTGTGTGTGTGGCGCGCGCGCGCGTGTGCATGCGTGTGCGTGTTGTGCGTGTTCGCGTACGTGGAGACTTGTCTGAACTCGGACAGATCGGCTTTGTTGGCAGTCAGTGCGATGACGACCTGCATCCACCAACAACGCCACAGTGAAGGCACGGAATGGTTAAGAGCTCAGCTCCATCGTGCGAGTTTCAGAGCTTGGGGCGGCTAGACGTGCCTTGCGGCCCAAGTGTTCCCTCAGCTCGTTGATCCACATCTTGGCCCGCTCGAACGAGGTGCTGCTCGTGATGTCGTACACCACGATCGCACCGTGCGAACCGCTACGCACATGATGATAGTGCCACCAACATCATCACCATCACCATGGTGAGTCTTCATGTAGAGCCGCGCGCACCGGTGAAAGAAAGTGGCACCGTACCGGTAGTACATGGGTGCCAAGCTGTTGTACCGCTCTTGGCCTGCCGTGTCCTGCACAGTACGGCACGCGCCGCATGAGGTGGAGGTTGAAGAGAAGGAAGAGGGTGGAGAGATGAAGAAAGAAGGCACACGAACCCAGATCTCAAACTTGACCGTGGTGTCGTCTACGACCACAGTCTGCGTCAAGAAGGCGGCTGATGAAAGAGATCAGTACTCCCATCTGGTTGATGGGATTTCGTGGCAAGTACCTCCGATGGTACTCTCCTGAAACTCGTTGAACTTGCCCTTCACGAAGCGAATCACGAGAGTCGATTTGCCCACGCCCGACTCACCCAACAGCACAAGTTTGTGGTGCCGAATTCTGTTCATTTTTTTCCTCTCTTAATTGTTGTGTATATGCTACAAAAAGGGTTAGTATCATCATCACATTATGATTGGCAAAAGAAGCTTTCTACCTTATTGCTGCTCCCTTGTTGCTTCTCCAAATTGATGCTCTTCTTGTCTGTAGATGATCACCCAACAAACTCGATTTTTGATTTGTATCCCAGGAATTTATTCTTTTCCTTCTCCATTTCCTGCGTGGCATTCCTTGAATACGTTTCGTGGCGCCTCGTGTTCTGTGTGCGTGTGCGGTGTAGCAGTGGGCGGAGGTGGTGGCTGTGCGAAGAAGGAGGTGAGCTTCCGCTGCGCGCTGTCGAGCGACTTCCGCCGCTTCGTCCCTTCGCTCTTTCGCTTCTCCGAGCTCTGCTTCGTCCCCGACGTCTTGTTGGCGCTCCTCGTCGGCGTTGTCACCTTCTTTGGCGACTTTGGTGGCGTCTTCCGTGGTGGCGTAGTCGTCATCGTCCGATCAACGCCGTCGCCTTCATCAGGCTTCCCTCGCTTGTGCAGCGGTTCCACTTCATCTTCGGCTTCTCTTGAGACGCCCGGGCAGGTGGATCCGCTCAGGCTTCGCTTTCGTTCCACTGGCGGCGCACCGCCCGGTGATGGCGGCAGAACTGCCGCGAAGAAGAGGGCGCGTCGGACCGGGCTTGACGAAGTGGAGGTCGAGGTCGATGTTGGTAATGACGACGAAGCCGAAGTTGAAGCTGGAGCCGGTGCCGGTGCCGATGTCGATGTCGATGCCGGTGCAGGTGAAGGTGAAGGTGCCGAGGCCGGTGTCGGTGTCGACGATGCCGAAGACGAAGCCGAAGGAATTTTAAAGGGCGATCGAGAAGGAGATAGGAGAAGTGTTGAAGAGGAGGAAGAGGAGGTAGTGGTGGAGGTAGTAGAAGTAGTTGTACTTGGTGGTGGAGAGCCGGCCTTGAAGAAGGAGGAGATGGAGCGCTGGCTGGCCTTCTCCTCGCGGAAGTGCGAGATGCGGATCCCCAGCAGGCGGAGGGTGATCGGAAACGCCTTCTCCAGCAGCCGCGTCGCCTCAGCCAGAATGTCCTCGTACGCATTAACATACCTAACCGCACGCACGCACCACCGTACACACACGCGCGCGCAAGCGCGATCGTTTCAGGTCAGGCCGCTTGGCGTTTGAGTGTGTGGCTGGGTCGGAAGTGGAAACCGGTTGAGCATGGTCGAGCGGGTGAACATCTTGAACTCGTCAGTCTTGAGGTAGATAGCGAGGTTCTTCCCAGCCAGGCTCTTCTTGGCCATCGATTTGGCCAGAGACTCGGCCACCTCTCGTGCCTGCGACATGAGGAAGGCTTGCGAGCCCGACGGCCGGAAGGTGCGCATCTTTGATACGCTCTTGCGTGCCGGACTAACGTCGTGTGCGTCGTGTGCACATTTAGGCAAGAGTTGGCATGAACGACGGCGGCGGAAAGAACGCACCTGGAGTCCTCGCCAGAGGTGGGAGACCAGATACCGAGCGAGGCGCGAAGGAAAAACTCGGCCGAGGAGGGCTTGAACAGACGGAAGAGAATGGCGCGCTTCTCCTGAATCTCGCAGCACTTGGTAATGCCCAGCCCCTTCAGCATCTGTTCCGTCACCTGCAACGGCGCCCGTGTGCGATGTGTCGTGTGTGTCGTGTCGTGTCGTGTTCAGCAAGTATTCCCTAACACGATTGCCTCCAGTGGAATGGTGGAAAGTGGCGGGGGCAGGTACCTTGCCGACGCCAGAGATCTTGCGCACGGGCAAATCCTTGAGGAAGGCGATGATGGCCTCGCGATCCGCCTGCAATCGAAATTGGCCGTCGGGCTTGTTGACGTCGCAGCAAATCTTGGCCAGCTGTCGGTTGGGTGCAATGCCTAGAAGTAAAACGCGTCGGGTGCGTGAGCGGGCGCGTGTGTCGTGTGCGTGCCGTGTCGTTACACGTGTAGTGCGTGTGTTTCATGTGCATGCATGCCTCGAAGGCCTTCTGCAGAGACGAGTACCTATGCTGCAGGTGAGCTGTGTGCGCTGGTTGACCAGCGCACGCACCCGCTCGGCCACCTGCTCGGCCGACTCGTCCGGGTGCTTGGCGAGGTAGGGACTCAGATGGAGCGACGCCTCGTCGAGCGAGTAGGCCCGAAAGTGCGGGTCGAACATGGCGAACACCTCCTGCGTCAGCTTGCTCGCCTCCCTGATGTAACATTGGCCCAAGGTTAGTCTGATACACACCGCGGTGCACCTTAACACTCACTGCCGATCATTATTGAGGTGGGTCGGTGCTCTGTACCGGTATTTGTCAAAGTGAACGGGCACGATGATGAGCTCGGGGCAGAGCTGCTTGGCGATGAAGCCCGGCATGGCCGACCGAACGCCAAACTTGCGCGCCTCGTAGGAGGCCGTGGTCAGCATCGAGTTACCGCCCACGGCAATGGGGAGGCCTGCGCCGCAAGCAACCGCCCGCACCACGTACAGGAGATACGCATCACGACACGCACACACAGTGAGCGTTCGTGGTGGAGGAGCAACCCTGGTGAGTGCATACCGCGCAGGTGCGGATTGTCTCTGATCTCGACACTTGCGTAGAAGGCATCCCTGAAGCGGTGCGTCGCCGCCACCAGCCCCATGCGGGTCAGACAAACTCAATGCGGCGGCGGTGCGGATGCGAGTAGAATAGAATGTGTGGGCCACGGGACGTACATGTCGATGTGAAAGAAGATCTGGGAGAGGTCGCGGGAACTCTCCAGGGTGGCCAGCTTGGCGTCGATCGACTTGAGGAGCAGCGTGTCGTCTTGATGCTCCACCTCCTTCAGCTTGTGGAGCATCTGCTGCACCTCCTTCTCGACCCGCTCCGACTTCATCTGTTCGTTCTTAAAGAATTTCGAACCCTGTGGAAAGAATTATAGAATTAATTCAGAATAACTGTGTAATTTCGAATAAGGAAGAATAATAGAATAAATACCAAAATGATTTGTTTGAATAATGTTGCGGGCAAAGGGATGAACCTTGGACATGTCGTAGATGATCTTGTTGGCCTTTTCCTTGTCCACGGACTGCATGCCGGCCTTGTCGCCAGTTGAAAGACCCAGCCGGGCGGCCAACGGGTTGGCGGAACTTGGTGCCGGGGCACTGGAGGATGTGGATGTGGATGTAGATGGAACGGGAACCGGTTCGTCGAATTCATCGAGGAAGGCATGCCGCTCTACCTCGAGGTCGTCTCCATCGTCGTCATCCATCTCGAAGCTCTGATCATGGTCCAGCATCGCCAGCAGCTCATCCTCGGTGAGCTGGCCCAGGCCGGGAACGCACTCCACCGCCCCGCCCGACTGATGCATCCAAATGGAACTATCAATTGACAACTCGCGTTGCCGCAGTCCGTTTCTTCCTTCGCGCCAAAACGAAACTGACCAAACGTTTCACATATGTTTTTAAAGTTGTGTTTTGTGGTGTCGAAAAAAAAACTAAATGCGTATTTATTTTTGTTTTATGTGCAAAGTAAGATGGAGGTGGAGGAGGCACAGACGATGAAGCGTTTCACGTTCGAGTTCTTCCCGTGCCGTACGCTCCACCTTTTCTTCTTCACGGAGGTCACCAACGGCGACGAGATACTCGGGCAGATTCGCGCCGGCACTCTCGAGATGGCCTTCATGTCGCCCTCCCTCGTACGCTAAATAGTATTTATTATTATTATTTATTATTGCTCTGGTTCCAAATGCTCGAGAATTAATGTATATTAAATAATTAAGTCAAAAATTAAAAACGCACTGCAGATCGTGGACGAGTTTCAGGTGGTGGCGGCTGCCCACCGGGTGCTGCAGGACGAGGCGCGAGGCAAGATGGTGACCAAGAACCTGCACTCCGAGCTCGTGCACACCCTCAGCGGCGCACACCACGTACGAGCGCGCTTGTGACTTGGTCGTGTGTCATGTGTCGTGTGCTCACTGCAACACCGCTGCCTGCACAACAGATTGCGGAGGGCATCCGCAAGTTTGGAATGGATGTGCACCACAACTACTTCCTTGTGGCGCTGTTCGATGCCGACGATGCCACGGTTCGGACCTCTTATCTCCAGCCAGCCTGGTTGCTCGCATTTCTTATGCTTCACACGACACACACACAACACACACACACACAACGCACACACGCACACACCAACCAATCGACAGATCGAACGACTGAAGGGGCTGGTGCAAGGAAAGGAGACTGAGGTGGATCAATTCAAGAAGCACACCGTCATCACGAAAGCCTTGCAGGTACTACTCCTCTGCGCTGCGCCTTGTCTTCCTTCATGACACATATGAGCCCAACATTCACATTCGCCTTTCACCTGCTTCATCAGCACTACAAGATCAGCAACGACGAAAAGGCGATGAGCGACATCGTGGGCTCCATCGTCTCCCGCATCGCCACGCGAGGCCACTGAGTGTCAATTGCGTGGTGGATTAAAAAAATCGAATTCAACAGCGCCACACACACAAGACAACACGAGTCTACTGGAGCTTGGCGAGGACGGCGTCTACGACCGGGAGATGCTCGGGCGCCGCCGCTTTATAGCTGGCCCGCAGCTTGCCGGCGGCCAGCGTCGCCAGCTCGCCGTTGTCCTTGGGCTTGGCTCCTCCCTTCTTCGACGCCAGCGCCTTGCATGCCTGTGGTGAGTGGGTGGTGAGTGGTGGTCAGCAAAAAGGGAACGATGAATCACCGGTGAAGGAGGCAAGGGGGAAGGAAACGCCACCAGCGCGAGGCCAAAGAGGGCGCGGTTGTTGCTGTCTCGGTTGAGCTCGAGTGAGTGCGCAAAGTACTTCCTCGCCGTCGCATAGTCTCCGGTCGTGTACAGAATCTATTTAGAGGCGCACCCCACGCGTACGTCAGGCGCGTCGTGCACTCAGCTGCGTGGCCTTGAATTGGCAGAGTGTGAGAGGTACCTCGGCGTATCGGTTGATGTAGTGGTGGTTGAGCGGTTCGGCAAGAATGAGCTCCTCGTAGCAGAATGCAGCGAACTCGTACCTGCGCGCCATCGAACGCACATCGTACTTATTAACAACCAAGGTGCACTGATCAGGGCGGCGGCACGTACTGCTGTTCGTCGAGGTAGAGGTCGCCCAGCTCCTGCCACGCGGTCGTGTCGGCCATGAAAATCTTGAGGTAGTCGTTCAGCTCCTCGATGGCTCGCGGTCGGGTCTCCTTTCGTGCCTTCCATATGCACACGCGACGCTTCATCGTAGCCTGGCCAACACAAGGGGTGAAGTGAGCTGCTGCCACCTTCCCCTTCAAGAACCTGCCGCACACGCCGCACGACACACACAACACACACACACACACACACACTTAAGGGAGGGAGAAAGGCGTCGGTACGGTGTCGGCTGGGTCGTCGATGAGGAGAGAATTGTAGATGGAGATGGCTTCCTCGAACTCGCCCTCGGCCTCGAGCTTCATGGCGGTGAGGCGACGCACGCGGGCGCTGCCGGGGAACTTGGCCGTCAGTCGCGCCAGGACCTCCTGTTCGTTGCGCACCCCAAGGGTCAGCCAGGGAGCGCCCTGCACACCGTGGCGAGCGAGGAAGTGTGACGTACATTGGCGAGGGGGAGGTCGTTTGAGTCAAGTGCCGCTACAAAGAGCTGCTCCTGCACAGTCCACGCTGTGGCCCAACGTTAATGCATGGCTCGAGTTGCATATGAAAGATGAAGATGCGTAAGGATGAAGGATGAAGGAGAAGGAGGAAGAAGGAATCACGCACCTTCATTGCCAAGCTGGGATGCCGATTTGAGCAGAATGGGAGCGAATTCGAGCACGAGATCGGGCCGGCGTATGTTTTTGTTGCGCAGGGTCTTGAGGAGCGACCGCACCGCGGCAACGTCCTTGGACGATGATCCACGCAACCGAGCCGCCGTGGCCTCCATACCCACGTCCACTTCTTCTGTCGATGCCATTATCTCGCTCGATTAATTAATCTATCAATTACTCTTTTAATCTTTGGAGCAAGAGAGAAACAAGAAGAGAAATTGGTGAGTGCACAAGTCGTTCACCTTTTCTCGCAGCGCGTGACTGTTGTTCGCGGCGAACTTGAAGTGGAGCCACAAGTGTGAAATTGAAGGACAAGAAGCAGGGAAGGTGAGAAGAGAAGGAAGGCGCTGACCGTGTGAGGCTTTCCAAATTCATCTGCAAAGCCGAAGCTACTAAATCCGACAAATCCTCATCCCGAATCACGTAAACTGAAAGATGGAGGGCGCTCCCATGCCGAACAAGCAGCAGCATTTGTACAAGGCACGCTTTCCAACTCAGCGTATGCCAAGAGAATATGTTAATTTCTCACATTTCATCAATCCGGTCAGATTCTCGTGATTGGAGACTATGCCGTGGGCAAGACCTCCATCATCAAGAGGTCGATACCCTCCCTCCGTTTTTAACCTCTTTCTTTGGCCATCTTCATTCAATTCATCTTACTGTATTGTTTTTATTAGTTTTAATTTTGTTTATTTGTTGTTCATCTCCTCAACCATCTTATAGATACTGCGAGGGCTACTTCACGCCCAACTACAAGCTCACCATCGGCGTAGGTTCGCTGTCTCCCTCCTCCCTCATCTCCTTCTCTGCTTGGTCTTTTTGTCTACTACTACTACGCTGCTGTGCCAGAGAGCTGACTCACGCGCAACAACACGTCGCAGACTTTGCTGTCAAGCAGGTGCAGTGGGACGACAAGACCACCGTGAGCTTGCAGGTAAGCGTCCTTCACGCGAATAGTAGTTGATGCATCTGGTTCTGTCTAACCTTACATTCATTCATTCGTTCTCTCTCTCTCTCTCTCTCATTTCTCTCCTTTCCATCGTATCTGTAAAGCTCTGGGTACGTCCGCCTTGCAAGGAGCGCTGGGGCATAATATGTTCCATTCTGACGCCGTTGTTGTTGTTGTTGTTGTTGTTGTTATTTGTTCCACCCCACAGGACGTGGCAGGTCACGAACGGTTTGGGCAGATGACGCGAGTCTACTACAAATACGCCATCGCGGCCATCATCGGTACGTACCTCATTGATTGAGCTACCACCCTTCTCCCTGTCTGACTAATTCCTTTGGCGATGGTTCTTTCTTTTTCTTTGTTTTTTTTGTTTGTTCCCCCCAACTACAGTCTTTGATCTCTCGCGGCCGGCTACGTTTGAGGCCGTGGCCAAGGTACCGCACCAGCGCACGCGACTGGAGAAGGGCGTACAGCTAACATTTGCTGATAAATGTTCGATGCAGTGGCGGGAAGATGTCCACAGCAAGGTGATGCTTGCCAACGACCAGCCTATCCCCATCCTGCTGCTCGCTAACAAGGTATTATACCCTCCCTCCCCACTTGGCTTTTCGTCGCCTCACATCGTGTTGCCAACTTCTCTCTCGGTCGCGTCGTGCCGCGCAGTGCGACATTCCCGGCGTGACGGTCGACACGGAAGCGCTTGACAAGTATTCGCAGGACAACGGCTTCGTCGGCTGGTTCCCAAGCTCCGCAGCGAACAACACCAACATCGGTATACCTTGTTTTTCCCCCCCCCTCCCTCTTCAATATCACCTTGCAGGAGGGCCACGGGACTGATGCGCCTCTCGTGGTTGTGGTCTGGTGTGCTCTGCAGACGATGCGATGAAGTTCATGATCGAGAAGGTGCTCGAGGTGGCCAAGACGAACCAGGTCCCCACTCCACAGACCGACACGCTCAGCCTCGAAGCCGAATCCCAGTTTCTCACAGGAGAGGTACTGCACTTGTGTTTGTGTGCGCACGTGTGTGTCGTGCGTGTACGATTTGACTCATGTGCGTTCCTGTGCAACCATCATCAGGACGAAGTCGACGTCTACGGAAAGCCACGAAAGGAGGAGTCGTCGTGTTGCCCCATCTAAATGAGTACTGGTCGGGGAGGTCAGCTAACATGACCCCTCTTTTTGTGTTTTAGTATTTTGTGTATTTGCTGTAGTTTTTGTCGTATTTTAAACCGACTTATTTCGTACAATTGCTTTTTTGGCCGTTTCTTGTCCTTATTAGGATATGGTGGACAACACGGAAATGAAACGTTTCCCTGCTTCTTTTCTGGTGCCTCTCTCCTAGACGCGTCTTTGCCAGCCCGGAGAGATGAAGATGAAGATGATGTCGAATTGTTGTTCGTTCGCCTTCTCGTTGGCCTTTGTGACCCTCTGTGCAGCTCTCCTCTTAGGCGACAGTGTGCTTGCGTCCAAGTTCCACTCCCAGGACCTCACCATCGACCTCTCCCGCTACACTACCACTGCCTCCACCGCACCCTCTGCCCCTTCCTCCCCCTCCGCCACCGCGACTCCCACCGCGACCCCTACCGCGACCCCTACTCCTACCGCGACCGCGACAGGGACCGCTACTCCGACAGCGTCGCCTTCGACCACCCCCGCCGCGGTTGCTGCCACTTCATCTCCATCTTCTTCTTCCTCTTCTTTCGCCTCTACTGCTTCTGCTTCACCTTCGCCTTCACCGACCGAGGAGCCGTCGTCGTGGTTCTCCTGGTTCTCGTCTGGGTCTGCCGCTCCCTCGGCCTCCCCTGCTGCGGCCCCGGGCGCAGACGCCGGCGGCCTGCCCAGGTGGCTCCGCGCGCCAGGCCCCAACGCGCTGCGATCGATCTCGATCGTCGTCCCGGCCTACAACTCGTCGCGCCAGGTACTCCGCACGCTGCGTAGCGTCGAGGCCAGCGTCCACCATCTGCTCGCCACTCACAACCACGGCAGAGAGGTAGCAACCTTCCCCCCCCCCCTTCAACCCTCCAGTGCTGACCGAGTAGCGGCTGCTCACTACTTTCGACTTCTTCGTCTACTTGTTCTCTCAACTCAACAAAAATATACAGCTGCGCGTAGAGGTGGTTGTGGTGGACGACGCCTCGACCGATAACACGGCCATGAAGGTGGCCGGCTTCGTCGAGGAGCGCCGGCTAGAAGGGCATCACCAACCCTGAGTACGATATACTACAAGTCCCCATCACCTTCACTCTTTTTGGCCCCTCAGCTCGGCGTACTGACGTCGCGATGGCGCGTTAATGCCAGGTGGAGGCTGGTGGCGGTGCAGCACAACCTGAAGGTGGGCGCCGCTCGCAACCTGGGCGTGCAGGCCTCCACGGGCGACGTCGTGTTCTTTTGCGACTCGGACGACCTCTACCTCGAGGTACGCCCGATTTGGAAATGAAGCTGAGGTGTACATTCCACTGCGATGCTGACGTCAGCTGGGGGGGGGCAGAACCACGTCTTCACGTGCTTCGAGCGTCTGGAGAGGGAGTCGAAGGCCGTGTCCGTGACCCTGGGCATCGAGGTAATTCCCTGAGCTCCCGCAGAGTGTGAGCGGGCTTGGCGGTACTTAGAAACCGTGGCTATGCAGATCGACGCAGAGAACGTGGATAGGGAATGGGCCATCGGCATCGGGCAGACCCTGCCCATGTCGACCTGCATGCTGCGCTCCTTCTTCGATCTGATCGAAGGTGACCCACCACCACAGCTCGACTCACCGACTGCCTATGACTGAATGACTGACTGACGGCACAGGGTTCCCCGAGGGCTACTACTGGGCTGTCCACGAGGACGTCGCTTTCTTGCGGCTCAGGCGACACGCCGCCAGCTTGCTCGGCGCGCAGACGATCAACGACATCACCAAGCTCACCTCCAAGTACGTGCGCTACCCCGACAACGCCCTGGACCGCCAATTGGAGCAGTTCCAGAAGTACGTGCGAGCCTGAGCCTGGCCTGTGGCGGACAGTACAGCGATGTTGTTGGTGGTCTTGACGATGTGGTTGGTGTGGTCTTTCTTGTTCAGGCCTATGTCGGAGAAGAAGTCGGACGAGGAGATGAGGAACGCGGAGCCGTTCATGCGGGTCAAGGAGCTGATCCTCAGCTCCCACGACAAGTACATTCGGATCCAGAAGATTCCCGCCGCACTTGCCGGTACCACTCAACTGACCCATCATTGGATGGGTCCTTTTTGAATTATTGATGCTATTGATTGGGCGGGACTGTTGCAGGGAAACCGCTCAACGAGTGGGACAACTACTGGGCCGTCTATCAGTCGTTGATTAGGAAGGAGGTACGAACATATGCTACACTCCAACACACTCACATATCTTAAATGTACGCTAAAATGTCAATGTGCATTTGTTGTGTTATCAGATGAGGAACAACAACTCGACCTACGCGGAGGAGCTGCGTGTGGCGCCACTCAAGTCGTGGCGCTTGTCGCACCTCCATACCCTGGCCACGGTGCTCGACCAGCGCGGCAACGGCACCTACGCCCGGCTCTTGCGCGATCTCGCCCGGACAGTGACCCCCACTCCCCTGGTACGCACCCGCAAGTTGCGCGCCATCCACGCCACTGCCTAAACGCGAAGGGGGGTCGACACACAGGACTCGCAAGATGACACGGTCAACTACCACGAGATCTCCACCTCCTCGGCCTAGCCATTTCTCTTCATGTGGAGCCCCCACTCCACCACCTAGCAAGAACAAAATGTAGTGTGATGGTAGTGGTACCACTTCTCTTTCTTGTTGAAGAAGGCCTCACATAACCGAAACCGGACAAAAGCCAACTGCTGTGGCATGCGCGCTCTAGCCCACGAGGTCCTCGATAGTGACGCGGTGCTTCGCTCGACGGTGCGCTCGTCTGTCGCGACGGGACTCGTCTGTGCGGCCATCAGGGACCCCACTACGGCCCAGTCGGCACAGGTCGCAAGAGCCGGGGCCGTAGTGTATGTTATCATATTTTATTGGCTATGTACAGAGAGTAGGCTTGGTGGGTGGGTGGGGGTGCGACAAGGTTTACATGAGCAGGAAGACGAAGAGGATGAATATGCCCAGCGTGAACATGAATCGGGACAGTTGCTGGTCCCTCTGCTCCTGCGGCGTGAGCGGACGTTGCGGCCCCAGGTTGTTCTGGTACCCGAACGAACCCCCAGTCTATGCGGGTCCATGGACGAGTTAGCGACAACACGACACGCACCACGACACGCACCACGACGGCACAGAGACGTACGAATTGCATGCCAAAGGGGAAGAAGCCGAAACCAAAGTTGATGCCGCCCATGTTGGTGTGCCAGTTGCCGGGTCCGTGAGGACCGAAGTGGGGCATCCCGTACGGCCCAAACGGATTGTCGTGGTACCCGTGGAAGCCCGGCTGAGAGAGTGCATTGCAAAAACACAGGTGAGCGCTCATGTCACACGACACACACACACACACATGACACACACGACACACACGACACGACACACACACACACACACGACACCATCGCACACGCACGAGAGTGAGATGCGTACGCTGGACTGTCGGACGGATTCGCCTCGCTGGCCCCGTGGACGCTCGGGAATGTCCTCGCCCGTTGGCGGCCTCGTCCTGTGTAGTGCAGGTCAGGAACGTACGTCGGGTCAGCAGTCTGTGTGCAATGTGTGCGACGTGTGCGACGCGTGTCGTGTCGTGTTGCGTGTCATGTACCGAGGGTCGACTTTCTCCTTGCCTCGGCCATAGAGGGGCACGAGCTTCTCGCGCGTGATGGCGGCCTTGCAGACGGGACACGACGGCTGGTCCGGATGCAACTCCAGCCACTGCTCGCCCCCACACGTGTGAGTAAGACGAGCTCTTGCTAGAGAGCAGCTGCATCTGCCGCCAGAGATGATGGAATGTGTACCTTGTATATGCAGGGCCAACTTCAGAAGATGCAAGTAGCGGCATCAGGAATGAAGGAAATGCGGCAGAGGGAGAATTGATTATCAATTAGAATTAAAAAAGGAAGAGAGGAGGTACCAGAAGAGGTGGCCACAGAGGGTGACAACAGGATCCTGTGCCGTGTCAAAGCAGATGTTGCATTCGAATGCGGGCGAGGCCGGGGATCCTCCGCTTCCCTCGCTCGTTTTTTCTGTAGATGACGCCGATGTTTCCGATTCCATGCGCGAGTTATGCTGTTTTGGCCCAGATGTGAACCCAAGATACTTGCTCAGCTGCTCTCTTGCCTCCTCTCACTCTCTCTCAGATGTGGGAAACGCTTTGAACGTTAGCAAGATTATCTTTTTCTTTGTTTTGTTGAAGGTGACGTCACCTCCTGCCACGTCTACGCGGCTGTTCTGCGGTTTGGCTGGTGAAGTGCGCAGGTACGTCATCTTCAAAGAAGATGGCGACTCTGGGTCGCACTGCGGCAGCCAAAGACGAACCCTCGTACTGGTCATCATCAAAGTCATTGTGGTGGTGGTTGTAGGCAGAGTCACACTGTATCATCAGTCGTGGCCGATGGGTGTGGGTCGCTTGAGGAAGATGCCGGCGAAGGAAACGCCCAGACACACCAGCAGCGCCACAAAGATCACATTGAAGTCGCCCTACGTAGTAATAAAGAGGTTAGATCTTTGTGTTGTGTGTGTGTGTGTCGTGTGTGTGTGTGTGTGTGTGTGTCGTGTGCATCGTGTGTGGCACGAGTACGTACCATGGAGTCCTTGATGACCTGGGCCAGGTTGGGGACGAGGAAGACCGCTACCAGCGCGCCCAGTTGGATGTACCCAAAGTCTGGGCCGCCGCAAGAGAAGGTTGATCGATGCGTCAGCCCGGAGGGGAGTGCGCACAGAGGAGAAGGCGACGCGAATGGAGATCATGGGACGTACAGAGCCCAAAGTTGACGTAGCCGTAGTAGTCGCCCACGATGATGGGCACCAGCGACAGGTAGGTCCCGAAGCAGAAGCCCACGCTCATCAAGCACACCACGAACACAATCTGCTCACAGACCAAAGAAGAACATCAACACTCACACGACACACACACACCCACACACACACTCACACACTAGATAGAAGGAAAGAGAAACAAGACCTGTGCCGCGGTGGACGGATGTGCAATGCCGTACGAGAGGCCCACGAGGACGGTGAACACCACAAAGTCGAGCAGCAGAGCGAGCGCCAGCAGCTTGTGCCGCGCGAACTTGAACTGTTCACAGCGAGTGCATATTGGCGTGTGCGGTGAGTGCATGCGTGTGCGGTATGCGCGGTGAGTGCGTGTGTGGTGTGTGCGGTGTGAGTGGGGCAAATAAAAATGGAATGAAAGGAATGCAGGACAGCTGGGACGAAACCTTAGTCCAGAGGAAGTCCGAGGCCCAGCCGGACAGGACGTTGGCGATGGTGTTGGCGATGGAGAAGCCCGTGGTAATCTGCACCGCCCAGCCCGCGTGCTCCCCGCCAGTGAAGGTCACCCAGATCTCCTTATTACCTGCTCGATTCTTAGCACGACACGCACACGACACGCACACGCACACGCACACGCACACGCACACGCACACGCACACGCACGTACTGGTGATGATGGCGACGGCGGACCCGATTCCCGAGAAGTAGCCAAAGATGAGGAGCCAAAAGAAGAGGTTGCCCAGCGCGTTGAGGGAGTGAAGCAGCGAGACGGGGCTGTCGGTCTGCCCGGCCTTGAGCGCCTCATCGACCAGCACAGCCTGAGGCACCTCCCCGGCAGGCGCAAACAAATCGCGAGCGAGCTCCTGCTCACTCCAGTCGTCCCCCTGAATGGCTGGCGGACGCGCGATCGTGTGGGTTGGTGTGGTGTCGTTGGTCGTGTCGTGTCGTGTCGTGTCGGTACTGTGGTTGGCTGGGGTGGGCCGCTGGGGATGCTTGGCCTTGGAGTCGGCATCGGGAGGGAGCAGGCAGAGGATGAAGCTCGGCGCGAAGAGGAAGGTCGCAGTGGTGACGGCCAGCGAGCGGAGATAGTACGGCCAGCAGTCGTCCTCCGCGCACCCCAGCACCTCCCTGTCGACTGTCAACCCTCCAGGCCCAGGTCAGACTCTATTGAACCGACTACGCAGCCCATCGCCACTCCCATAGAGAGCCGATCGTACATTCGACGATGCCGTTGGTCAATGCCAGGGAGATGCTCATACAAGCGCCCACCAACGCTACGCCGACGCCTGCAGGTGGTTGCGTGGTCAGCACGATTAGTTTGGCGAGGCGAGAGGGCTGTGGGTGGGTGTTGGTGGTGGGTACCGGGGTAGCCAGGGATGACCTTGAGGCCGGTGGAGAGGGCGCCGAGGAACGATGCTCCGCTCCCGAATCCTATGATTGTGAGACTCGCCACCATTGCCGGATATGTGCCCTATTCGAAGTGTGTGCGCCAGTGAGACACGACACATGACACACACCGCACACGCACGCACGCACGCACGCACGCACAACACACACACACACGACGGAGCTGGGAGCACCTTGTCTGTGAAGGACATGGCCAGGTAGCCAGACGAGGTGAGCACTGCGCCGATGAGACTGGTCAGCATCGCCCCGAACCGGTCGTTGAACAGGCCTGTCGTGTGATGTTGAGAACTGCCCCGAACCGGTTTCATTCGAAGGCCTGGAGGCGACAAGTTAACCGGTCCGTACCGGCGAACATGGTGAAGGAGGTGCCGATGATGCCCACCGACGATAGGAGTGTGATCTGCCCGTTGCTCAGGCCAGTGTCGTTTTGTATGTGCGTAGCGATCGTGTTGAATGCGTTCTACGTTTGAACGCACACACACAGCACACAGCACCAGCGCACACGCACACAGCACACAGAGTACACAGCACACAGAGCACACAGCACACGCGCACGCAGGTGAGACGACAGTGATCGCTTTCCTTGAGAGGGAGGTACTGTGGTGCCGGCCTGGAGAGCGATCACCATGGCTGCCGCCAAGACCAGCGCCCGGATAAAGGTCGTACGTCGGCACCACCACCGCACCTCGCTGCCACGGCCATCATCATCTTCTTCTTCAGCCGGCACCCCTTCTGCGTCATCTAGAGGGGAACGTGAGAGATCAGCCTAGGCCGAGAAAATCAATTCAAAATCTGTGGCCGCGATACCGGAGGCCAAAAGGTGGGCACGGTCCAGTTCGGCAGCGCGCCGCATCTTCCTCGCTGCGCACCTCATTTTGCTGCATGCTCACCCCCCCCCCTCTTTTCTTGCAGGTGGTCCCGCCAACACTACGAAACTACGCGAAACAAGTCGTGCACTGCGCCCAACCACCAATCCCCAATTTCCTTTGAAATTGAATATAAACAGTTTTAAAAATAAATTACAATTTCTATTTTTGCGTTTATATATCTTTGAGTGATATATGATGTGTGTACATAAGATGGAGCTCAGCTTGGGCCTTCAAGAACACTGATCATGAGCCTCCTCCGTCCCCGAGTCAGTCAGCCGGCGGTGGGTGTACGGGTGGCCACCACCTGATCGTCGCCAGCCGCCAGCGGCAATGGGGACAGAGGAGCTGGTTGTCACGCGATCGCCGCCGCAAAGTTGCCGGTGCTGTTGCCTCGCGCCGCGCCCTCGCCAGAGCGGCCTGTGGCTGTCGGCCGCCCTCGCACCACCATCAGTTCGTCGTCGCCATCATCGTTGTTGTTGTTGTTCTGCTCCGGCGTGCGGCGTTGGCTGCGCAGATGGGAGGGCGGCAGGGCCGGGCACGAGTTGAGGAGCATGCTCAAGGGGATCTTGCTGGTCTGCAGCTGGCCCTGGCCCTGCTGGGACTCGGCCTTGAGCTTCTTGCGGTAGCGCAGGCCGCACGCGTTGCAGAGCGTGCCGCGGCCCTCGGGTCCCATGCGCCACTCCGACGTCTTCACCGCGCCGCAGTGCGCGCACACGCGCCCCGTGATCTTCACCCGCGGCTTTCGCTTCTTCTACACAACATGTTTTGTGAGTTTTTATCTTGCGTGTGTTGTGTGTCGTGTGTGTGTGGGTCATGTGGTGTGTCGCGTGTGTCGTGTATGTATAGTGTGTGTGTCGTGTCGTGTCGTGTGTGTCGTGTGTGCGGTCGAGACCTTGGGTGGCGAGGGAGCTTGTTCGACGAACGGATCGTGGGTGGCGGAGAAGGAGGTGAAGCGAGGAGGCGACGAGGCAGGCGACAGCGCCGCAGCCGCGATCGTAGGAATGGTTGAGGAAGTGGAAGACGACGATGTCGAGGAAGAGCTGGTGGAGACCGCCATGGACGAAGAAGAGCGCATCGTGGTGGTGAGCGTCGGGAACTTGAAGGGATAGCTGAACCAGGAAAGCGGCGGCAGCGTCGATGATGACGACGACGATGACCACGACATCGGCGACGACGGCGTCGATTCCCCGCTGGACAGCGGCAGCTGGTCGTCCGAGTCGCTCCCATCACTACCACCCTCATCGCCCAACAGCCTGCGCCTCTTCTTCCTCAATGCACCATCATCTGCATCATCATGGACAGAGACCACTTGGCTCCGCAGGCGGCCGTCGTGAAGCTTGGCCAGGTCCTGGACCAGCCGCTCCAGCGACGCCGCTCCGCCGCCGGTGATGGAGTCAAAGACGTGGTTGCCGTCGCGGGGCGGGAGGCGGTGGAGCGCGGGCGGCGGGCCGTCGCAACTGAGCCGCACCGGCGTCGGGATGCGGGGCTCGATGGGCTGCGACGTCGCGGCAGCGGCGATCACCGCTGGTGCGGGGCGCGCCTTGATGAGCAGAGAGTCCATCGTCGCAGCGAAGTCGGGCGAGTTGAGCGCCTGGTGGAGCGAGGGGAGAGGCGATCGATCTGCCATCATCGTCGCTGCTTCGTGTAGCGGGTGGTGATGGTGTCCGACAGCGGTGTCTGATGGTGGTGGTTGATGAAGATGGGGTCGGGGTTGGTTGAGGAGATTGCGGAGCGGGTCCGGGTGCGGGCGGGTGGGGCTGGTCATCGTCGTTGTCGTCGACTTCGCCGGGTTCAAGAAGGTCAGACTGCACAGAGGCGAGCACTACGGTGAGTCCCGGTTTGGGGAATGAAAGAAGTGATAGAAAGTGAGCGAGAGTTGCGTCAACGTTAAAAAAAGAAACTAGGCGACGCCTCGTTCACATACCTGGGTTGGTGTACGCAACTCTTCGCGTTCTACTGAAAGCTGGAATGGGATGGTTGGCTGACTGCCGAAGGATTGCGGCCGTGCTGCTAAGATAGATGGAAGATGGAAGATGTAGAACTGCTGAATTGAACTGGTGCTTGTGTCTGCTCTCGCGAGTACCTTTTGCTAACTAAAACTCCCTCAACTCAAGACCTTGACAACTGGCCTTCTCTTCTTCTTTCTCAATTCCTTTGGCCGCGAGTGTGTTGGGTTTCTTTGAACAACAGTTCCCCCCAAAGACCAAACTCCTCGCCCGCAGGGTTCTGATTGGGCGCCCGCAGGGCGGAGATCATTGTAAAATAGCGATTGAGCGCTCGTCATTGGTACGCCATCACTTTCCGGAATGGTCATCGGAATTTGTCGACAAAAACATGAAATTGTTTGCTTTGTTTCTTTGAAACTTGAAAAGTGTTTCAAAAATTCAGGTGAATCTCGCCGTCAGTCACCTTTATTTCGAACAGCCAAGCTCACTACCAAAACCAGCTCATGAAGTGAAGAGCAACACAACCCAAAAAGAGAAGGCGAGCGATAGCCCAGTAGCTTTTTTGTCTTACGGCCAAGCCACTACAACTATATCTTTGGAGCTCAGTCACTGCTCTCATTTCTCAGCTTCTCTTGATCACTCAGTTTTGATGTGAACATGATGTTCATGCACGACAACGACCCCTACGGCAGCTTCCCGCTCGAGCCACTACCTTCGGTCCCCGTCGGTAGCGACAAAAACATGGCACCTCCGAGCCCGCCCTCCAGCCCCACGCGCCCCGCCTCCCACTCCACCTCCCTGCCGCTCCTTCCCCTGCGGCCCCTCGACCCCGAGGCCGGCTCGCCCGCCCCGCCCCTGCCCTCCATGATGTTGATGATGCCCACCATCGGCCACCACCCATCGACCACCTCGCCGCCGTTCTCTTCGCACTATGGCCCGCCCTCTCTGCCCTACCCCTGCCCGGCCTCGACCGACTCGTCGCTGCCCTGCCACTGCTCGCCCCACCTCTCCTACACTGCCCACCGCCCTTTCTCGATGGGAACGCCGCCGTGGCGGCTCTGCCCGTCGTCGTCGTCGTCGTCATCGTCGTCGTCGTTGTCTTCAGCCCAGCTCTCGCTGGTCGAGGCACCATCGACCTGTTCGGCTTCATCGCAGACCACGACGGGAGCGAAGACCTCGCCGACTCTGTCGTCGGCGGACAGACGGCTGGCCCCGCAACAACAGCCACAGCGATCCGAGCGACGACCGCCTCAGTACAACCACCAGCGCCACACGAGCTACACGCCGACGGTTGTGGCCGGGGTCCACGGGCCGACGGTCCACCTGCAGGCCACGCCCACGTCCACTTCGTCAGCCTTTGGCCACCTGACAGCCCCCGTACAACACCACCATCATCACTTGTCACACCTCCCCGCGCCGTTTACCTCACCGTCGGCCCAGTCGTCTTTGTCATCGTCGCCGACACTGGCATCGCCGACCCCAGCCTCGTCGCCAGTGCGCGAGCTCAAGTTCAAGTATCACATGTCACTGTCGCCTTCTCTGCATACTTTGGGCTCTCCCACACAGCTCAGCCCCGGAGAATCCAAGGTAATCACGACGACACACCGACAGACAACACACGGCACACATGACACACACGACACATGCAACTCACCGCACGTGCGCAACAGAAGAGAACACGATCAAGGATCACGGGGAGAAAGTGTGCGCACTGCGGCTCGCAGAAGACGTCGGAGTGGCGCATGGGACCCGAGGGCCGCGGCACGCTCTGCAACGCGTGCGGCCTGCGCTACCGCAAGAAGCTCAAGGCCAGCCTGCCGCCCAAGGCTGCTGCTTCTTCGGCTCCCAATCCCATCAGCCTGCTCCTCAACTCCGACGTCGGCGACACCACCGGTGAGGTAGACGATTGATTTTGATTGGTTGCACTGCAACACCTAAAGGTCAGCACAACCAACGCACACTTATTTGACGGCGAAGGCGATGCCGAACAAGGCAAGGAGGAGGGTGACGTTGGTGCCCGGGCGGATGTAGAGCTTGGCCTGGCCCAGCTGGGGCTGGTAGGTGATGTCGACCAGGCGGGGCTGGACGACGTATGACCTTGTCATCTGGTGGTACTGGATAAGGGTGACCGTCGACAATCCACCAACCGCCGTTGCTGCAGTCCACCACAACCCAATCAGCGACCAGAGATTCGTGGTGTGTGGTCGTGTGTGTGTGTGTGTGTGTCGTGTGTGTCGTGTGTGTCGAGTGTGTGTCTACCGATGTTCCAGCCGACTGCTGGGGCAAATGTGGCTCGGGCAATGACGGTCCCTTTGTCGGCGATCAGCCTGGAGGTGTGGTGTTGTGTTTTTGGGAGTCAGTCCCCAGTCCGCGCGTGAGTGCTCTCTGGATGGGTCGTCGTACTTGTTGTGGGGCATATTGGAGATGGTGAGACTGAAGCCGTCCGGTCCTTCCATGACGGTCTGGTGCTGGGTGCGCAGCTGGTACAGCTCCGGGCCATTCTGTGTCGTTCGGGAGTGTCAGTCGCACAGCAGTGGCGCGAGACCACAAAGCCACCAGCGGTGCGGAACACGCGTACGGGGATGTGGAACTTGATCGCGCCCCTATCGCTGTACATAACCTCTAAAGTCTTCGTGCCCGAGTACAGATAGACATTGCCTGCGTGTCGTGTGTGCGTCGTGTGTGTCGCGTCGCGCGTGAGACACTACACAGAGGCAGAGACTTGTAAATTAGGGGCGCCGTACCGGTGGGGATCTGGTAGTGCGTCAGGGCTGGAAGCAGAGGCGCCAGCTTGAAGGCGTCCTCGGTGGGGAGGCCCGTCACGCCCTTCAGCGACAGTCGGGTGATGCCCGAGCAGCGCTTGGCTAGCGCCGTCAGCCCGCTCAGACTGACCGCACCACCGAAGTTCACCTGTACACCACATCGCTTTAGTCGCGTGTGCGGTGTGTGTGGTGTGTGTCGTGTGTGTCGCGTGTGCAGTGTGTTACCGATATGAGCTGGGAGGGGAGATGCTCGAGGGCGGCGCTGGTGACTGCAGCGGCACCGCTGTACTCGAGCGCCGTGAGCGCGGGCAGCCGCGCAACCTCCGCGATCACCGCGTCGTCGACCTCGGGAATCTGAGAAATGTTGAGCGTCGCCAGGCGGCTCCAACGACCGTTCTTCTCCTTCGCAACCTCGTCGTCTTCCTGCGCCGCAGCCTCTGCTGACGTGTCCGCCTCTGTCGACACATTTGCTGACGTGTCCGCCTCGCCGGCGGCGGCTGCGGGCTTGGTGGCGCGGCCGTCGAAGCTGGCGAGTAGGGCTTCCTTGGTCACGGCCAAGCCCGGGAGGCGCAGCGTCTCGAGCGCGTGGGTGTGGCGGGGCAGCGAGGCGAGCTTGAGCAGCAGCGCGGAGCTAAACTGCGCAGGGCAGCCCTTGAGCGAGAACTCGCGCAGCGGGACTGGGTGGTGGTCGAGCCAGGCCAACATCGTCTCCTCCGTGACCGTTTCGTTCGCCCTGTGGCATTAAAAGTCATTATTTTCATAAATAAGCAATAAAATAATAGAAATAAGAATTCACAATAATAATACAGATTGGATTAGAGGACGTACTCGAGAACCAGCGTGTGGATCGCGGGAGAGGCCCACGCGATGCCGCGGAAGATCGGGTCGGTGAGGACGCGCTGACAATGGCGAAAGTGGAGTGCATCGACATTCGCCTGTGTCCGCACCACACTCAGTGATACGCTACCCGTACGTGCGTGTGCGGTAATGCGTGTGCGTGTGCGAGCGAGAGGAACGAAGGAAACCGAAGAGAGAGTGGGCGATCGCGTGTGCGTACCAGTTTGCCAGACACGAGGTTGTTAAAGGCGGGACTCGCCTCGACGACGTGCCACAACAGGGCCAGAGAAAGATCTGCGTTCCAGCAAGAGCGCTCATGAGCGTTGTTTTTGAGGTGTTTTCGACACACCACGCAACAGCTTCGAAGCTGAAGGCTGGCAGCGATGAGTGCCGGTAAGCGTACCGAACCACTTGTACGCCTTCGGATCGGGATTGACGACATGCGCGATCATCTTGTCGACGAAATCGTAGGCTGCGTCGTCATTGGCCCTAGAGAGAGATCCACACCACCTTTTTAGCTCCAGTACTCAGAGGCAACACTCGCGAACACGCAACACGACACACACGACACACGCAAACGCGTATCAAGGGCATGGAAAGTGTAGAGGCTTACCTGAAGGAAAGAGCGTTTTCGTACATGCCGCCCACTTCTGCCAGGGTCTGCCTCGTTGCCTCGTCTACCTCGCTCACGTCTAAACACACCCGATACACACCGCACACAACACGCACGGCACACGGCACACGGCAAGGGTGTCAACAGGGTAATCGCGCACACGGCTTGGGCCTTCAGAGGAGCGAGCCGCCACGCACTGTTGTCCACAAGTCTTAGGTAGGTGCTGGTGATGATGAGCTCGGCCAACATCACCAGCGCCTCGTAGTAGGTGGGTTCGATCGCCACCGCCTTCCTAAGGCACTCCTCTGCAGCCGCGACTGCATTGCTGTTTGTGATGCGCGTGCATGCGCGTGAGCCCAGCAACGAAAGTGCTCTTTCGCTTCACTGTAGAGCTCTAACAACGAAGAAGGTGGGGCGAGGGACATACCTGGTAAGCCCGCCCTTGTCCTTGTACACCTTTGCCAATTGCAAATAGGCCAAGGCCGTCTTCGGCTGCACAAATAGGAACAATTTGTTAACAAAACAAAATAGTAGTAATAGTTCAAAAACAAAGCCATTAATGCGCGTGCGGTGCGTGAGTGTCGTCGTGTGTTGTGTGAGCTTACCTCAACCTCGATGGCGTGCTTGTAAGTGGCAATCGCATCCGCCCATTGTTGGCGTCTGGCGTGAATGTTGCCCACGCCGATAATGCATCTGGACAGACCATAATGAATGGGTGAAATAGACCACCAGCGCGCATGTCGCGTGCGTGCGTGCGTGCGTGCGTGCGTGCGTGCGTGAGATGTACTTTGTATTGTTCGGCTGGATGTTGAGGGCTGTCTGATAGGCGATGAGGGCATTGGACAGGATCAACGAAACCGCGTCTCTGTCCGAGGAGCTGCGCATTGAAGTGACAGTTGAGACAACAGCGAACTTGAAGAAGAACAATCACCAAACTAAAGAGAGGGGGGGGGAGATACGACGTACTTGTTCGCCTGAGCAACAAGCATGTCGCCCAGCAGGATGATAGTGTCGACGTTGAGGAACGGCATCTTACGCGAAGCGATCTTCATTGTTTGCAAGAGAATATGTGGGCATTAGAGTGCAGTGGGAAGAAGTGAAAAGAAATGATTGTAAGGTCAGTAAAGTCACTAACCTGGAACTTGCCCATGCCCTGGATGAGCAGGCGCGTTTGATCGTAGCCCTTCTCTTCCAGTCCCTGGTAGAACATGGCACTGGCCTCGGCGATATCTGTCGCCAAGTCCGATGATGGGTGAGAGATTGATGGTTGTCTCTCCAGACATTGCAAATTGGGGGTGTGTGTGTGGTGTGTGTGTCGTATGTTTGTGTGTGTCGTGTGTGTGTCGTGTGTGTGTCGTGTGTCGTGTGTCGTGTGTGTGTATGTGGTGTGTGGTGTGTGGTGTGTGGTGTGTGTTACCGATCAGGTTCATGTGCTTCACGGTGGCGTGCAGCGCGGTCATGTCCGACAGGAGGAACTTAAAGTTCGGTACCCACTCGCCCCAGCTCATTTTTGCGTTGTCCTGGATTGCCCTGGCAAAGTCCTACAATGACAGACGGAACCATCCAAAGGGGTCAGCGGCTGTGTGTGCGGTGGTGCGTGTGCGGTGTGCCAAGTGAAAATTCTTTCTCACCTTGGCGGCCTCCTCGGTGAGCGGTATGGTGTTGGGCGATAGCGCTCGCAACCGGTCGAAGAACTTGATGATGTCCAAGCTCTGGCGGAGATCATAGCCCGCTACCAGCTCGTGCGCCAGCAGACAGTTCTTTACACAACAAGAGAACAATCACACACGCCACACGCACACGCACACATTTACATTAGCAAGAACGACGCCTAGGCGTTAGGGTGAAGACGGAGCAGCATACCGAGAATTTCTTGATAAGGGATCGCTTGAGAGTGCGCCAGTAGTAGTTGGAGTTACGGTGGCGACCCAGCAGCATGTTGAGGTGCTTCACCGCCGCCATCTTCTGGGGATCCTCGGTGGGGAGGCCCATCGCCCGCGTCTTCTTCCTGAACTTCTCGGCGATCTGCTTCCTGACAATGCGCGCCACCATCTGTTCGAAGCCAAAAATATGTTAGCACGCCCAATCAATCTGCCACCGCACACGCACACACGCACACACGCACACACGCACACACGCACACACGCACACACGCACACACGCACAAACACAGGAGGGGCAGGCATGCCTCGATCAGGGTGGTCTGCTGCAGCTTCGGGTTGACCAACTGGCGGATCTTCCCGAGGTGACGGACGTTCACGCCAGCCTGGCAATGATCAAGGTAAGCGCACAAAAGAATGTGGGCGGAATGCGGAATTCGAAGAACGGTGGGTTGGTTGAGCACCGAATGGAGCACTTCGATGAGGTCCAGGTGGGTCTTGCCCTTGTCTGCACTTTCCTGGAGCTCGTTGAGCCTGGCCGCGACTTGGGGAATCACCTCCTGATTGCATCGTTACGAACCACGGTTTGAATCGCGTGCGGTGGTGCGTGTGCGGTCGCTCGTGTGCGTGTGCGGTGGTGCGTGTGGTATTACCTTGAATAGCCGCTCTGTGGCTTCCGTGACTTGCAAGTTGTAGAGATCCTTCTTACTGTCGGCCCGAGCCCAAATGGTGTAGGCATCTGGCGTGATGGTTAGCAGTCGCGGATCGAGCTTGCTATATTACGCTGGTGCTCCACGTACCGGATGACAGCGGAACCTTGTTCGATTTGACGAGCTCCGGCCGCAGCAGGTTGTACAGAATGATGCCCTTACGCCCCACACTAGCGTGTCACCGATCCACCGCGTAAGTAGGGAAACACCACAAACCGAGCGAGAAAAGTGATTGGAAGGTGGGCTCTTCTTGGTATGTGTTGGGGCACGCACTTGGCAGGGTCTGGGCGCTCGGGAGGGAACGTGCGGGCAAAGTCCTGTGTGAACGGAGAGCAGATGAGTACCACGTGTGGCATTCATTGTACAGAAAAGTAGGAATGTGTGACTCCGCGCCGTACCACAACGTAGTAGCGATCGTCGGTGCCCTTGTGCGCCTCAATGTCCACAGGTCCGTAGATCTTCTTGCCCAGTCCTTCGGGCGTCCCCACGTAGTGGCCCTACACCACGCATGTGCCATCAAGAATGTCAATCATGTTGCAATGGAATGCGCGCCTAATCGAAGAATTCCTGCGCGTTTTATGCGCGTGAAGGCATAGGGGACGGCGTACGCGCAGGTGCATCTTGCGGGCGGCCTGCTTCATCATCGCTTTGAGCGTCGGGTCCTCGCAGTGGATGGTGACGCCGGCGTCGCACGAGCCGTATCGGAGGGTCCCGGCGTTGATGGGCAGGATGGTGATGGCAATCAGCCGGAAGCCCAAATAGTCAATCACTGTGTTGGATTCGTTCATATTAGCATGAATCGTGTGTCGTGCGCCGTGTGTCGTGTGTGCCGTGCGATGCGTGCAGATTAAAATGCAGGCAGTGAGTGCGTACGGGCCATGAGAGGAACGTGAAGGCCAGGAATCTGGCAACTGTAGTAGTGGATCAAACCCTTCAGATCGTGCGAGGCCGCCTTCCTGTAAAGTCCATGCGGTGGCGTCAGTGCGCCACTCCACGCCCAGCCAAGAGGGCAAGGGACACAAGGCAAGGTGTGACGCACATGGCGTATTCATCGCCACCGTAGATGCCGAAGATGTCGGTGGCGAATTTGAAGAAGATGCCCTGCACGATGTACTTCTCGCCGCCAGCTTGTCCACCCACCGCGATGGGCTTGATCGTCTTCTTCGACTCTGCCGCATCCCAAGGTTAACTCCTTCAGTCGCGTGCATGTGCGTGTGCGGTGTGTGCGGTAGTGCGTGCGATGACAAGTACCATGTAGGCCCAGTTCGGAGATGATGATCTGGCCGAACGGAGGGAGAACACGTTTTCCGTTGGTTAGGGATTATTGTGTGTCTGTCTGTCATATGAGGGAGAGTGTACACACCTTGCCATAGGTCTCAGCCGCAAACACGAAGTCGTGCGCCAGGCGGGCCATCTCGGCGAACTTATTTGCCGACGGCTCCAAGCTCAACAGTCGCTGTACACGCGGAGAGCAGAGAAAGGTGAGCGCCGTGTGCGCGATATTCACGTGCGTTCTGCCTGATTGTGCGTGTGCGGTGATGCGTGAATGTACCTGAAACTGCTCGTTCCAGTTCTTTGTTTGGCATCTTTGCCTGATCACCGGTTGATCCTCTTCGTCTTCGCTGTCGCTGTCGCTGTCGTCTTCGCTTTCGCCCCCCACGGCTTCCGGCGCGCCACTGTATCGAATCGGAAACAGAAAAATGCCCGCGTGAGCCCTTGGCACTGCCACACCACGCCGAAGACGCCCAAGGGACGAGCCAACAGTTCGTACGCTTGGTCGGCGTAGGCGTAGACCCCTTGAGCTGTCCCGCTGGCCTGCTCCACCTCCGAAGAACCGTAGACCGCAGCTGCCCATGCGATCGCATCACGACGAGGCGTGTCTCGCAAATGAGCATTGGGCGGTCATCATCACCTTCATCACGGCGGCGCTACAAAGGTGTACCCATAGTGTCGGCCGAGTTGTCCATCGCTTGCGCGTACGTCAATCGGCTGCTGCGCGTATTCGAGATCGCAGTTTTAGTGTTTGATGTGGGTTTGTTTGTTTGTTTGTTTGCTTCTGCAGAGCTTCAACAAAGGCAAGAAGGCCGGCAGGAGAAGGTACCTCTCAATGTCGACGTTGAAGGTCTCGTAGGGAGTCATGTAGGGCTGCTCCTCCTCACCTGAAGGCGGAAAGATACGGTTCGCAGTCAGCCAAGCACAGCATAGCAACACCTCTAGCAAGGCACGGTTTTGGGGGGGGGGTGAGTGGTTGGTGGCGTGTGCTACCATGATCGTCGTGGGGCAGCGCTCCGGCAGTGTCCCACGCACCACTGCACACAACAATGGAATTAGAATAAAATGAGAAGTAGAGCACACGACGTGAAAAAAAGAGCGAAGGCGAAGGCGTGCACTGACCTGGCCTGGTCGGCCTCCTCCGCCATTGTTGAGGTTTGGTCCACCGCGAACTCCACGTCCGTGCTGTCGACCACGTAACTCATCTTGACTTCGTCTGTTCAGTGGCAGAAAACGAAACGGAGGCAAACGAAGGCAGCACGCTTTGCTCCGTGTTGGGTGAAGACGTAAATAAATCGCAGAAAGTATTGGAAATAAACAGCACCAACCAAAACTGAGAAGTGGAACATTACGAACCAATGGGAGGAAAATTGACCGGCGATTTTTTTTTCTTTCTTCATATCAAGAAAATCAAAAGAAAAAGATGGAGAGCAGCAAAGCAGATGATGCTGATTACGTGACGCTCGTACTCGCCAGCGGCGGTAGTGAATCCGCTGAGTTTCTTTGCCCGCGCCAGTTCCTCCACCATTCCGTACGATTATCCTTATTTTTAAGATTATTATTATATTATTTGTATTAATGGGTTAATTATAATTAAATGGGTTCATGTGCAGGAGAGCGAGTACCTGCGGCAGCTGGTCTCTGCGGCGTGGGCCGAGGGCCAGCGCTCGCGCATCGAAATCAAGTACGACTGCACCCCGGACAACTTCGAGTCCATCCTCCGCTTCGCCTTCGGCCACCGACGCAAGGCCAAAGTCTACGACCAGCACCGCCACCACCACTCCACTGGCAGTGCCAGCCACGTCGACCCCGTCGAAGTCGGCGACGCCGACGCTGCTGCAACCGACGCCGACGCCGTCGACGCCATCTTCGCGCAACCAGCGGGCCGCACGGACTGGGCGGCGCTCGCACACGAGGAGGACAAGAAGCCCAGGGCCACTGCGCCGGCACAATCTACAGCGAGCCTCGGTCAAGGCGGTAATGACGACGGCGACGGCGACCTCGAACCATTCGCGCTCGACGAAGGTGACGACGATGGTCGCCAGGAGGTGGAAGACGATGCGTGGGTGGAGGAGCTGATCTCGCGCGAGAATGCGGTGTCGCTCTACGGCGACGCGCTGTTCTTTCAGCTGCCGGAGCTGGCGGCGGCTTGCGAGGCGTTCGTGGCGCGGCACGTGGTGGGCTATCACAACGCGTGCCAGTACTGGATCGTGAGCGCCCAGGCCGGCCTCCACTCGCTCGAGCACCACTGCCGTGCCATCTTCCAGGACCACTTTTCCAAGGTCTGTTCGAACGACACACACACACACACACAACGCATGGCACACGCGTGCATGATACTGACGTGTGGTGTGTCGACAGATTGTCAAGCACGACGATTTTCTGCAGCTGCCGAAGGAGCTGCTGCTGCAGGCCGTGCGGTCGCCCTGCCTCAAGGCCGAGTCCGAGGAGCAGATCTGGGACGCCGTCCTGCGCTGGGGCCGGCACCAATGCGCCGACGACGCGGCCGACGACGACGATGAAAGCGAAGAGGACGACACCACTGTCGACAAGAAGAACAGAGACAAGGGCAAGGAGAAGGTGGGCGTAAAGAGAAACGAAAAGGAAAAGAAGAAGGAAAAGAAGACTACGATGGCCGGTCGGCCGGCTGCGCGTTGGGAGCGCGGCGTGAACGTGGCCGAAGACGGCGAGGCGGAGGAGGCGGCGCGCAAGGCAAGGGCCGAGCGCGAGAAAGACGAAGAGCAGAGGATCAGTCACGCGCTCAAGACCCGCGTCCTGCCCGAGTTCATCCCCTTCATCCGCTACCCGCTCATGAACTACGCCTTTCTCTGCGGTGCGTGCGGTGGCGCACGTGTGTGTCGTGTGTGTCGTGTGTGTCGTGTGTGTCGTGTGTGTCGTGTGCGACTGACGTCAAGATTTCGCTCTAGAACGAGTGGCGCCGAGCGGTCTGGTGCCGCACGAGCTGTTGGACGAGGCCTACCAGTTCCTGCTCTACCAGGCCAACGGGCTCTCCGGCGGGTTCAAGGGAACCGACAACGGCAAGCGACCGCCCTCCTTCCGCGTCCACGCCCGGACCCCCAAAGTGGTGCGTGCCATTTGATCGTGTGCGGTGCGTTGTGCGGTTGTGTGCGTGGGCTGACGTCAGATGGAATGCGTGTGGAATTTGGGGTGGGTGCAGAGGTTGGCGGAGGTGCACACGGCCACGGCGCGCGGCGGGTCGGTGCGGTCGGCCAATCGGGAGATCGTGGCCGAGGTCTTCCGGTGGCTCTTCGACGCGCGGCCGCCGCACGCCTCGCTCGTGGCCCTCCAGCACAGCGTCGAGCACCTCCTGAGCGCCAAGCCAGTGGGCCGCATGTTCCCCTGGATCACGGCCGAGCTCGTCGTCACTCATCTCGAGTCCATCGGCTTCGTATCGGCATCTGAGCCGACAGCGGCGGTGGCGGCGGCCAACCCGCAGCCGCGGGGCGGCGTACAGCCGAAGAAGCAGAAGAAGCCGCGGCGCGCGGTGGTGTACAACATCCAGCGCGACGAGGAGCCGCCGCAGGTGTCGCACACCTCGCGCGCCTTCAGCGTCATCGTCGAAGACATTCTGCTGTGGCTCCGGTACTTGCATTCACCGCACACACCGCACACACCGCACACACCGCACACACCGCACACACCGCACACACCGCACACACCGCACACACCGCACACACCGCACACACCGCACACGATGCTAACGGCATGAGCTGAGTGCAGGGACCACCCGTCGCGTCCGGGCCACATGGATGCGCTGCTGCGCCAGGTCAAGTACTACCTGGGCCGCAAGAAGGTGAAGAACGTGTTCATGACCGACGCGCAGAAGGTGGTCCACCTGCTGGTCCACGATCGGGTGGTGATGCAGCGCCGCTTGGACGCGGACGAGGCCGAGCGCCGCCGACGTGGCGGCGGGCGCTACCAGCAGTACGCCCAGGAGCAGCAGGGCCAGGTGATGCTCAACGCGTGCCGCGATTCCGTATTCGCGTGCGCCGCGTGCGGCCGGGCCTTTGTCTTCGACGCCCAGAAGTCCAAGGAGTTCTATCGACGCAGGCTCCACGTGCCCACCCGCTGCCCGGCCTGCCCAAAGCCCGAGCCTTTGCCGAGTCAGCTGGCGGCGCAGTCGCAGCGGTCGCGGCCTGCGGCGCCGCGTCAGGGCCGGCGGGGCGACTTTCTGCGCGGGCGCTACCACCAGGCCACGCTCATCGACCGCCTCGTCAACAACATCTATTGATCGATGATGGTACATAAGGCTACACAAAAAGTTTATGAGGAAATGGGGCGCGGGTGCACGGTCATGCGCATCCCGTAGCGCGCTCGCAGCGTGGTGGCGAACTCGGCCTCGGCCAGGTGGCCCGGCACCAGCTGCAACCGGAACCTCTGGCCCACCATCGCCGCCACTACATCGTCGTATGTGCGCGTGCGTGCGTGCGTGAGTGCGTGCGGTGGGGCGTGTGTAAACCTGGGCCTGACTTGAAAGCTCCCACGACGTACCCATCTTGATCTCCTTGCGCGCCATCTCTTCACCGATGCACGAGCGGGGACCGGCGCCGAAGGGCACAAAGGTCATCGGGGCCGGCCACTTGCCCTCCTCCACCTTCCACTGCTCCCGGTCCGGGTTGAACGTTTCTGCCCGACAATGATAATGATAATAATTATTATTATTCTTAGTCTTATTCTTATTCTTCCACCGAAAAGCCTTTCCTTTTCGGTGGAAGATGGGCGTACCGGGGTCGCTCCAGTTGTCCGGATGGTGCATCACGATGTAGGGCGACCAGGCCGCCTTGGTGCCCTTGGGCAGGAACCAGTCCTTGCCCTCTGTTTGTTTGTTTCATGAACGGTTTAAAATCGTGGCCCCGCCGGCATAAGGTGGGCGGTTGCATCGTACGGTGGTGGATGGTGATGTCCCTGGTCACCTCCCTGCCGAGGCTGGGCGCCGATGGCTTCAATCTGAGCGTCTCCTTCATCAACTGCACATACATACACAAATGCAAATATATAAGTATTCACATTTACAAATAAAGAAGACAAAAAAACACTAATAACGTACCTTGTCCAGGAAGGTGAGCTGAGACAAGTCCTGGAAGGTGGGTGTGCGACCCGCCAGGACCTGGTCCAGCTCCGCGTGGAACCTGGCCTCGACGTCACTGTTCTGAGAGATGTAGTAGAAGAGCCACGTCAGCTGGTTCATGGTGGTGTCGTGGCCTGCGAACATGAACGTCATCATCTGCCGACCACACCACATCGAGTCGTGTGGGGAGTTAGCTTGCAACGTGAAATTGATTAATAAAATATTATTAATAATTTTAAGAATATTAATTATAAATTATAAATTAAAGTTTGGGACCCAACCTGGCGGATGATTTCGTCGTCGTCAACCCATTGGCCTTCGGGCTTCTGGCTCTCGCGCAGCATGCACGCCAAAATGTCCCGCTCGTCATCGCGCACTCCGCTCTCTCTGCGCTCGACCACGATGCGTCGGAATGTGGTCTGCAGCAGCTCCATCTGCTTGAAGTACTTTCGCTCGGCTGACGCGTACAACAGATCAGTGATTACCACTTCATACGACACACGACACACACGACACACACGACACACGACACGGACCTGGAGTGCGCCAGATCTTCCAGATGGGAAACAGGGCAAGCCAGCGATTCTGGTAGAGGTGCCGCAGACAATCGTCGTAGGCCTACCACGCACGGCACACACCGGTGAGCCGAGAGAGCGTCTTTGATTGTTCACTGCGTTCGATTGAAGGGCGAGGGGGAGCCGCCGGCACCTTGGGACTGTCGGGGTTCGTCTGCGTGCCAAAGTCGAAGCCGAGACACAGCTGGCCTGTGGGCCAACACTACAAATGTGAGCCACAAGTGTGCCTGTTTTTGGCGGGGGTGCCGTCTGTGGATCGCTCACCGATGACGTCGAAGGTGAGCCGCTGGAACTCGTCTTGCACGTCGAGGGGCTCGCCCGACCTCGCATGAGCGCCCAGGGCCTCGCACAGAATCTCCGCTCGGTTCGCCACCCTATTCATCAACTGTCACGCACACATTCATCATCCACCAGCATAGTCATCTTCATCAATCATCATCATCATCCATCATCCATCGTCCATCGTCCATCATAGCAAGGTGAGTGGTTGGTACCAGGTTGAGGTTGGACTTGTGGAACGCCGGACCGACCAGCTTCCTGCTCCTCCTGTGGCCATCGCCATTGAACTGGAGCACCAGTCCTGTAGGGCAGGGTCCGATTGTGGTCAGCGAGGCTGCGCTGGAAATTGAACGCAGGGCCGAGCCTGACGCACCCGAGGCGATGTCGTGGAAGATGTCGTTGAGGTCCTTCTCGCGGTCGAATGTCATGTAGTCCTGGTCCAGCACCTGCTTGAGCACCTCGGGACTTCCGAGCACAACGCTGACGGCCATAAAACCGAGAAAGTGGGTGGTGAGCGTCTGGTCTCTACGCGCTGCAGTGTCAAGGGCGAGGGTGGGATCAACGCACTAGGGCTTCATGCCGAGCCAGAACGTGTAGACGGGGCCATAGAGGAGCGAGTGCTGCCTCAGCAGCTCGTGGAACGCTTCGACGGGGTGCACTGCAGAGGTGATGACACCAGCAAAAAAAAGGAATAAAAATAAAGTCTTAAAAGGAGGGAAAAAAAAGAGGGGGAGCAGGCGTACGAAGATGAGCGCTGCCGATGATGGGAAAGGGGACTGGCCCAGCTGAAGGCAAGGTCCGCCACTTGTAGCGCAGGTACACCTGCAACACGCCCCCCCCCCGAAACGAAAATGATGTTGGCCAGTTGTGGCTTGGCGTTGCTTTCCGTGTGTGAGCAGCGTACATAGTGCAGGAGGATCGCCAGCACAGCCACGCCCAGACTGAGCAGCCACAGTGGTGCCATGGCCCAAAGAAGAAAAACGACCTTTTTATGTCTTTGTTTTATTCTTTTTTCGTGTCACACCCAAATTGACTGGGGGACAAATAACACTATCTGACGATCATAACCGGGCAATGGGCGTTCTGGACCACGTACTCGGACACCGAACCGAGAACCAGCCTGCACGCGAAGAGTTTGCCGTCAGCCGCCACACACACACATCACACACAGCACACACACACACACACATCACACAGCACAACGAGCAACAACAACACGTCCACACGTTGTGACAATGTACCTTGACACGATGCCCAGGCCGCGGGTGCCCATGACTACAAGATCGACGTTGCCCAGCTTCTCCAGTTCCTCGCAGATGGCCTCCCTCGCAGAGTGGGCTTCCTTGTTCTCATACGTGAATCGCTCCTGCACCGCACCGGCCACCACACTGGATTAGCGCACGCGCAAACCGCACACGCACGACCGCACACGCGCACGCACACCACAGAGAAGACACGGCCGCGAAGTACCTTGGGAGCTTCGTCGGCCAGGTTCTCGAATTCATCGTGCGCCTTCTGCGCCTTCTCTCGCTCGTTCACGTCGTTCATGTGCCGCAGCTCGTGTTCCATCGGGTTCACCATCGACAACACGTCCAACACTCCACCTTGACCAACAAGTTCAACATTTTTATGCTTATTTAGAATTATATATTCACCATTTATTAATTATTATTTATATTCACTATTCATTATTTATGCAATCTATACAAGATGATTTGTGGATGTACCTTCGGAGGAGGGCTTGAGGGGTTGCCCGTCGGGTCCGCGGGGTTCGAAGACTTCGCTCACGTGCAGCACCACCATCTCGCCGATGTTCTCGTCCACCAGCCTCTGTCCAGCCTTCAGTGCGCGCTTCGCTCCGTCCGACCCGTCCCAGCAGACAACCACTTTCTTCATCTTCTGCTTCAATGTTCCTTCAATCTTTGTTTAGTTCTGGTGCAATGGCTTCTCTGCCATGTGCGGCTGTGTGGGTGCCGCGGGGAGAAAACTTGATTGTTTCTCGATGAAATCGCAACGAATTACCACTCAATTATCATTTTGCGTAGTAAAAAAAACGATAGATGCATGTGCTGCACAGATGGAAGCTCGATCGGGACCTGCCCGGCCCTGAGGAGGTCCTACATGGACAGGAGGCGAGGAAGAAATGGCTGAGCCGCTGGTCGTGCTCGTGCCAACTCGCGGCAGCCGATTCGAACACACCAGGACAGAATCTGGTGGTATTCATCTACTCTGAGGCCGACGAGGCCCTACGTCGTGGCTTCCCCTTCGCTGCTGATCTGGCCCAGCCACTCGCAGATGATGATCATCATCAATCGACGACGACTCTCCTGCTGCGGGGCCCGCTGCGCCAAGAGGACGCCCAACGACGTCAGACCGAAGAGCAGCAGCTGCACCAGCTCCTCCTGCGACACGTTCAACATCATCGCTCGGCCCTCGAGAAAGATGACGAGGTGAAGGTGTGCTACGCGCGCAAGGTGTATCGCTTTCCACTTCTTCCACAGCGACAGCAACGTACAGACGAGGCCGACGGCGACGTGGTGGTGTTCGTGCGGGAGGACCACGAGATCGTGCCGCACGGCCAAGTGTGGGAGGGCTCGGTCGAGATGGCCCGCTGGATCTGCGCTCACTACCACGAGCGCTTCAGAACCGGCAGTGGTCTAGTGCGTCCGCGCGTTCTCGAGCTGGGCAGCGGCTGCGGCCTGCCGGGCCTCGTTCTGGCTGCGCTCGGCGCTCAGGTTCGCCGCACACGCACGACCGCACACGCACACGCACGACCGCACACGCACCACCGCACGACCGCACCCGCACACGCAGCATTGATTACTAATCAGAGCTGTGACCGCTTTGGCTCCAGGTCACTCTAAGCGATCGATCGGAGGGCGCGCTGAACAATCTCGTACACAACGTCGGCGTCAACATGTCTGCGTTCACAGGTTTGTCCGTCTGGAAATGTCCACCGCTTTGCACCTTTTCTTTCGTACAAACTGACCGCACGTCACGCACACACAGGCTCGTCCCCGCCCGCGGTAGTGCACCTGGACTGGGCCGAGCCCGGAACCATGCGGCCGGTGTGGCCGCCGCAGGCGGTGGTCGGGTCGTCGTCGACCGACCCGCGCGGGTTCGACTTCATTGTGGGCACCGAGGTGGTCTACAGCGAGGAGGGTGCCGAGCACCTCATCAACACCGTCAAGGCCTGGCTTCGCAACCACTGCGGCGACAACCACGCGGCCCGCCCATCGTTCTATCTTCTCCAGAACCCGCTGCGCGCGGGGCTCAAGCACTTTGTAGGCCTCCTCGCCGGCGCCGACCGACAGCTGGCCGACGACAAGCAGGAGCTGAGACGCGGACTTGCCCTCGAAGAACTGGACAGCGAGCACCGCCCGCCGCCATTGCCAGCGGCAGGACCACCACTCGCGTACGAGCCGAGCGAAACGGAGCAGCTGCGGTTGTATAGGGTCACCACTCGGGCCTGAGCCCTCCAAGTACATGGCTCAACCCATCACCGCTCGCTGGCCTGGTCGATTCGCTGTTCTTCCTCGTCCTCGGGACCCGCACGGCCGATCCCTGTGAAGTGAGCGCAACAAGCCCAACATCAGAGCGTTCACACATAAGCCGGCCCGCGTGCGCGTGCGTGCGGTCGTGAGCGCGTGTGCGTGTGCGGTGCGTACCGTTGGCGTCGAGCACCGCGTAGGGGTGCACTCGTGACCCCAGCATGAAGGTGAGCAGCGCGGCGAGGACCGCGCCGACCATCGGACCCACGATGAAGATCCACACCTCGCGCAGGGGCTTGCCGCCCGCCAGCAGCGCCGGCGCCAGCGAACGGAACGGGTCCATCGACGCTCCGCCCAGCGGCCTGTCATCAACCTTGATCAGCAACCGCACTCACCACACGACACGACACACGACACACACCACACGACGATGATGAGGACGTACCCGCCAACGATGCCGAGAGCGGTGACGATGACGCCGACGGCGATGGCACCGTTGGCTCCGACCACCTTGGCGCGCTCCGCCACGTTGAGGTAGACGAAGTTCATCAGCGCCGAGAAGACGATCTCCATGGCGAGGCCGGCCTCGATGCTCACGCCGTCGGGCAGCGTGGCGCCCACGTCGCCCTCCTTCCCCAGAAAGCCCATCACCAGCAGACCCGCCATCATCGCTCCTGTGCGCCAGTACAGTCTCAGTCGACACGACACGACACGACACGACACGACACGACACGACACGACACGACACGACACGACCAACGACACGACACGACACGCACACAACGATGACTGGACGCACCGATGAACTGGGCGGGCAGATAGTAGAGGAGGCGCCACCACTCGAAGACGCGGCGCAGGGAGAAGGCGAGGGAGGTGGACGGGTTGAAGTGGGCGCCCGAGACCTGGCCGATGGCGAACACCAGCGCCATGATGGTCAGCCCCTCGGCCAGCGCCGAACCTGGACCCTCCGCCCCTTACGATCAGCTCCCGGCGCACTACCTACCGCACACACATAAACGCGACCGCACACGACACCACACGCACACACACACACGACCGCACACGCACCTAGTTCGGAGGTGTGCGGACTGGCGTTGCCCAGGCAGGAGATGAGCACGATAGAGAAGGTGCCGATGGCTTCGGCCAGGCCGCGCCTGAACTCGGCGAGGAGAGCCTTGTGGCGCTTGTGCCGCCTCCCGCCCGGCAAGTACTCGTACAGCTCGAGTTCCATCCTTCTCCTGTCTCTCGCTTCTTCGTTCTCTGTTCTTAGACGCTTTCGCTTTCTCTTTCTCTCTTCGTTCTTCTTGATCGTTCCGGGCTGTAGAGCGGGCCTTGTTGGTCAGAGTGCTCCGGTCATCTCCTCTACGTGCACCCCGTAAGTTCGTTGTGGAAACTCGTGGGGAGATCCCTCCCAGTCGGACTTCATGTCTCCGCTAATTCTGTCTTCTTTGCAAGTGTTTACTTTGCTACCAAAACATCTTCCAGCTTGTCAACATGTCCTAAACTATATTCAAGGAAGACCCGCAACAGAAAAGAAGCGGTTCCGGAATTTGAAAAATCACAATGCATTTCAACCGCCATACTTCAAATTCCGCAATCGCTCAGTTACAAAGCTGTGTTTCGCCGAGAGCATAAGAAAACAAGCGAGGCCGGGCGAGGCGGGGAAACCAAACACCACAAGAGCGGTATGGAGCACGAACGCAGAGGAGGAGAGGGCGAAGGCGGCCAACTCCCACATGATGGCAGCGGCCGAGGGGATGAGGAACGACAGCGAGTAGAGACGGGCGGGACCGCCTCCCCCGAGGAGGACGAGCAGGCCGCGGCCGCCCGGCGCGGGGTGGGCCTGGCCTGCAACTTCTGCCGTCGCTCCCACACAATATGCGAGACGTAGGCCCGCCCTCACCCCCCCCCGCCTGCTTGACATACCTAAAGTTGAGGAATGCCAAACATGTCATGTGTGTGTCGTGTCGTGTCGTGTCTAGTAAGAGGCCGTGCACGCGCTGCGAGAAGGCGGGCAGGGCGCACCTCTGCTCCGACGTGCCGCTACGCAAGCGCGGCCGACCGCGCCGCAGCGACAGCGCCGCCAAAGACAATGCCAACCACAACAAACTCACCCACGCACAGCACCAGCACAAACAGGGCCAACCACCATCAGCACCACCTTCATCAGCACCACTGCTACACAACCCGCCGTCGCAGCCGCTCTTCCCTGTGGTCACCACCACAGCCAACGCGCCGCTGGGTCTCGATGCGCTGCCCTTTTACACCATCTCCCCGCGCACGCCGCCCGCAGTGGTCGCCGTGCGACCATCGCCGCCGCCGGCCGTCGCCTCTGCGTTCGCCGTGCAGGCCATCGCGCCCAAGCCGTCGCCGCCGCCGAAGCCAACGACCTCGCATTCCTCAGCGCATTCCTCGAATTCCGCCCTATTTTCGAGCGCGCTTGACATGGTGTCGGACGAGCTGCGGCGCGCACGGGAAGAGAACGAGAAGCTGCGGGCCAAGCTCCGCACGACCAAGGCCAAGCTCAAGCGCAAGAAGGCCGAGGCCAAGCAGCTTCGCCGCGCGCTGGCCCAGGAAATCGACGACAAGGCGGCGCGCCGTAGGCAGGAGCTGGCCGTCGTCGCCGCGGCCACCATGCAGCAGCCGCCGCGAATCATGGCCACGCCGGCCAGCATGCACGCCAGCTGGTCAACTTCATCGTCAGACGCGTCGACAGTGTCGCCGCATTCGTCGCATTCGTCGCCATCTTCGGCGTCGAGGTCGGGGTCGGGGTCGGGGTCGGGTTCGTTTGTGTCGTCGCCGCTGCCGGTGTCGAGCTTTTCGACGCCGCACGCGTTCCCCATCGCGGTCATGGAGCACGTCCACCAGTGCCTGCCCTTCCTCTCGGCCTACCTCTTCTCCCCGCGCGACTTTGTCGTACAGGACCTTCGGTACGCCATCATCACCGCACACGCACACGCACACGCACACACCACCGCACACACACACGTTTGCTGATGCGCGTTTCGAACGTAGACAACCGATGCTCGCGTTCGACATGGGAAATGTGATGGACCCCACCATCATCTACGCCAACCCGGTCCTCTGTCAGCTGCTCGGATTTTCGCCGGTACGCACGCGCCGCACGAAAGAGAAGAGAGAGGCGACGAGGCCTACACTGACTGCACTGTCATCGTTCTCCAGAGGCCCGGCTATCCGCTCATGAAACTGTGGGCCGACAGTAAGAACTGTGAGAAACAGATGCCCCTGCTCATGGAAACCCAGTACGCACACGATACACACAACACACACAACACGCACACAACACGCACGACACCGCACGACACGACACGCACACACGAATGGGACACGCGACTTACTCGCTGTGTTCCACTCCTCTTCGTCCGATCAGACCTTCGATGTACATCAGCGAGTTCATCTTCGCGGATCCCCTGCTGCGCTGCGTGAATGGATTCCACGTGCGGGCCTCGTTCCTCATGCAGTTCTTCTTCGACCGCCGCGGCCGCGTACGTGTCCTTCTGTTCCTCCACGCACACGCACACGCACACGCACACGCACACATGGCACGCCATGCCTAACGATCGTATGTGTGTGTGTGTCGCCTCCACAGATCAAATATGGGGTGGCATGCGCGGAGAGCTGGCGCCCGGATGTGCCGCGTGACGGCGAATCGCTACGGGAATGGCACGACGACCTCCATGACGACCTCTTGGGCGCCCTGGACCACCTCGTGGCCGACGACGATCCGCCCTTCCAGGGCAGCGGCGACGATACGCCCTTCCAGGGCAGCTTCCCATACGCCGCGGACCACGTCAACAGCAACGGCGGCTGGCAGGCCCAGCAAGACTACGACTTTGGCGGCATTGGCGGCGACCACCTGCCCAGCACGTTCATGGAGGAGGTCACCTACGCCATGCGTTCATAGCTGTGTGTCGCGTTAAGAAAAACAAAAAAAATGGGGGTTCTCTCAGACAAAGTCGAGCCAGAGATAGGTGTCGATGCGCTGGGCGAGGGCGGCGGCCTGGGGCGCGGCGACGTCGGCGAGCGGGAGGTGGTAGAGGAGGAAGGGCTTGCCCGAGCGGCGGCCCTGGTAGGTCTCCTGCACCACCTTCACCCGCATCTCGTGCCGCTGCAGCTGCGCCTCCTTCACCTTGTCCACGAACAGCGTCTCGTCCTGCCGTCATCGCACACGCACGTTTCGTCAGCGCACACATTACCACACACACGCACACGACCGCACACACACACACACACACACACACGACCGCGCACACGCCACACGCACACGCACGACCGCACACACAGGCAAGACGTACAAAGTCCTTGAGCTGGGAGAGCTCCTGGGCGGAGGTGCCGAGGAGCGGGGCCGCGGCCTCGTCGAAGGCGCGCAGCCAGAGGTCGCCCGTGTGGTCCACGATGCGGAGGCTCGCCATGTACCGGTTGACGTAGCGCCCCGCGTACACCCGATTGCACGTCTTGCAGTACCACCGCTTCTGGTGGTGCTGCTGGCCCTCTTCTTCCCCGTCGTACCCCTCGTCGCCGCCATGATATTCTTCCACCTGCGGCGTGTGCGGTGTGTGCAGTGCGTGCGGTGCGGACGTGTGCGGTGTGTGCAGTGGGTGTGCGTGTGCGTGTGCGTGTGTGTGTGAGTGCGAGTGTGTGGCGAGAGTGCGATGGTGGAGGCGGAGGCGAGACCTTTTTGTGGCACTTGGGCCAGGGACAGGCGGGGTACCACATGCCCGAAGTTCGGATCTCGTTCACCGTGCACACCACACTCGCGTAGACCTGCGTGTGTCGTGTCGTGCGTGTCGTGAGGTTCGATCTCGAAAGCTGGGCAGGGCAGGGGAAGGGAGGCCGAACCGTGGGGCACGACGTCGAGCACTCGAACGACTCGCACAGCGCCTTGAGCTCCTTGACAGTCATGCTCCTGTTCGCGTCTGCGTTAGCACAACAGTTCAAGCGCGGCAGTGCAGTGTGTGCGGTGTGTCGGGTGGTGAGTGCGGTCGTATGTACTTGTAGTCATGGCACTCGACGCGGGTGCGGTTCTCGGGCACGCTGGCGAGGAAGCGCGCGATGTGCTGCTTGCCCAGCTGCGGACAGTCGTAAAGCTCGAGCGTGTGCGGCAGTTGGGCAGCTGCGCGACACGACACGACCAACGACACGACACGACACACGACATGCGGTCAATCCGCGATTAGCCCGCGGTCTCGCGAGGCCGGGCAGAGGAGAAGCGCCGGGAGCGTACGATTGGAGGCGAGCATGGCCAGGGCGGCCGGCGTGAGGCGCGGACAGTAGGAGATGTCGAGCGTGCGCAGCCGCTTGCGCCGGAGCTCCGTGGGCAGCGCCGCGAAGAACGCCGCCAGGGCCGCGTCGTCGATCATGCCGCACCGACGCAACGCCTGCATGTGCGATGCGCGCGTGTGCGGCGAGTGCGGTGCGTGCGGCGTGCGTGTGCGGCGTGAGTAGCAATCGAGAGGGCCAGAAGAGAAGGCGGTGGCGTTGGGTACCAGGTGGGTGAGCTTGGGGCAGTGGCTGGCGAGGGCCACCAGGGACCGGGTGGTGATGGGCAGCTCGGTGACCTCGAGCGCGTGGAGCTGCGGCAGGCCGGCGGCGACGGCCTCGAGCCCCGCGTCAGTCACCCGACCGCACTCCCACAGGCTGAACGGTGATTGGAATGCGTCAGGAATGCGCCGGTGATCATGGAAAAGCAAGCTATGTCGTACTCGAGGGTCTTGATGTGGGGGCAGCCCTGGGCCAGCGCGGCGACGCCGGCGTCGGTGATGTTGAGGCAGCGGCGCAGGGAGAGCTCCTCGAGCCACCGGCAGCCGCGCGCGAGGTCGAACAGCGCGGCGTCGGTGATATCGGACTCGGCCAGCTCGAGCGACTTGACCCCCGCCGCTGTCGATGATGGTCGCCGCTGCGCGATCGCCGCCACCGTGGCGTCGGTCACCCGCCGCACCCCCTGCGGCCAGCACGAATAGGACCAACCAATGCGCGAACGTGATGACGTCAGCCACAGGCATCACCGCCGATTGGTGGGAGAAGAGATAAAGATAAAGAAATAGAGCGGTGCAATTGGTGGCCGTACCCAGAGGTCGATTTTGGTGAGGGCCGGGTTGGCCTGCAGGACCGGGACGATGCCCGCGTCGGTGACGCCGTTGATGCACCGCCGCAAGCTGATCTCCTGCAGCTCGGTACAGCCTGTGTGCACGCGAAGGCGCGCGTCAGTCGTGTGTCGTTGTGTGTGGTGGTGCGCGTGCGTGGTTGTGAAGGTGGGCCAAGTGAGTACTCTGGGCGAGAGCGTGGAGGCCCTCGTCGCTGACGGCGGTCTCGCCGAGCCAGAGCTTGGTGAGGTGCGGGCAGCTCGCGGCGATTGCCACCAGCGCGTGGTCGTACACGTTGACGCCCCACAGGTCCAGCTCCTCGATGCCCCGCTTGCGTGCGACTGTGGCGGAGTTGGCCGGCGGCGGCACAGGCCACCAGCCATCGCCGTTGTCGGCCTCGGCCTCGGCCGCCATCTCCTGCTTGAAGTAGTCGTCATCGTCGCCGTCACCAGTTCCGCCAGTCACGGCCTGCCACGTCATCGCGAGGGAGGCGACGGCGGCGGAGGTCAGCTCGGTGCAGCGCCGCAGGACGAGGGCGGCGAGGTCGGGGAACGAGGCCGGGTTGATCAGCGCGAGCGCGCGGTCGGTGAGCATCGGGTTCTCGGCCAGCGAGAGCCGGCGCAGCTTGGGGCAGTGGACCGACAGCACCTCGACCACCCGGTCCGTGACCCGGCAGCCCCACAGGTCGAGCGACTCGAGGTTGGGCAGGGCCGTGACCAGCTGCACGATGCAGTGCTCGGGTGGGGCGCACTTGAGCAGCGAGACCTCGCGCAGGTGGAGGCTGGGCGGCAGCGCCGCGAGCAGGGCCGAGTACGGCGAGCCCGGCGGCGAGCGGTGCGGCGAGGTCGGGGCCGACCGCGCGCCGCTGCCGCCCGATTGGAGGTGGAGGCCGGAGCGCGGCGGGGTGGCGTAGGGCGAGGTCGGCGCGGAGGAGGCGGGCCGCGCGGTGGACCTGGGTGGGGAGAGGAGGGACGCCGAAGCGGTCGGCTGGCGCAAGGCCGAATGGGGCGGCGACGAGAAGAGCGCGCGCTGCGAGGGCGAAGGCCCGCTGCCGCGCCCTCGCCCCACAGCTACGGGGCTGTCGCGGCTGCTTGTGGTGTTAACGTGTCTCGAGGGGGTTACGACGAATGTCGGCGTCGACATCGCGCCGCGGCCGCCCCGGGGCACGGGCGCCGCCGCTCCTGACCGCTGTGGCGTGCCTCGCATTCCAGCGGCTGCGGGGCCAGTGCGGCCCCAGGGCAGGGGCGAGGGCGCGGGCGTGGGGCAGGGCGAGACCGGGGCCGAGGCCGTGGCCGCGGCATCGAGCAGGGCCGGCACGCCGTCCGACGAGTCGAGTCCGGCGCAGTTCTTGACCTCGAGAACGCGCAGATAGGGCGCCCACGCGTAGTAGAGGCTGTGGAGGAAGGCCAGGTTGCGGATCGTGTCGAGCTCCATGAGCTTCAGGGTCTCCAGGTGCTGGTCGGCGAGGGCCAGGTCGGCGTCGCTGCCGGGCTTGGGCGGCGTGTGCTGCTGGTCCATCGCGTCCTCCTGGTCGTCGGCAACGAGGGCCTTGGGCTTGGGCGGAGGGCCGCACATCTCGACGAGGCGCTTGATGTCGACGAGCGAGAGGAGCGTGCAGTAGGAGAGGTTGAGCGAACGAACTCGGCCGCGCTGTTCCAGTCCCGCGAGAAGCGGGGACGACCGCAGCAGCTCGCGCGTCTGTGCATTACTGTCTTCTTGATAACCTGTGTCGACACACACACACACACACGACGGTGAGCGACGGGTCACGCAGCAGACGAGGGAGAGATGCGAACCTCGGCAGCGGAAGAGAATCTCGGCGATGCGGTCCTTGGTGGCGTGCTTGCCGACGGGCGAGAAGTCGTACGAGTGGACGGCGGACCAGACCAGCGGCGTGGCGGGCGAGGCCAGCAGGAGGTGGTGCAGCTGCTTGCACGACTGGGCCAGGGCCAGGAGGTCGAGGTAGCCCAGCGGGTAGTCCAGGTAGTGCGACAGCAGGAACACCAGGAGCGGCGTGGCGAGCGAGAGCAACGGCGAGGCCGCCTGCTGGTGCGCCAACACCAGCGCGAAGGTCGACGCGCCGGCATCGGCAGCGCCGTCAGAAGTGTCGTCGGGCTTGCGCTTGCGCTCGGCCTGCGAGGCGTTGGGCGACGTGGGCAGCAGCGTGCCTGATTCCTCTTGCGATCGCTTGCGCTTAAGGCTTTGCGGCTCGGCCTCGAAGTCCATCGTCGATGCCAGCGCTGGGTGGTGCTCCCTGGGCGTGGGCGTGAGGGCGAACTCGGCGGGCAGGGAGCCAAGCGAAAAGTCGGCCGCCGAGGCTTGGCTGTCGCCGATGTAGGCCGAGTGCGGGATGGTGAAGGGCGTGGGCGGGGTCATCGAGGAGAGCGATGACGGCTGCGAAGAAAATTGCGAAGCCGTCGACGTGGCTTGCGAGTCGCGCGCAGAAGATGATGATGAGGTGGAAGAAGAAGAAGAGACAGAAGATGATGATGAGAAGCCGGGAGAAGGTGTAAGTGGTGAATCCTGAGAGTTGGATGACGTCGACGCCGATGACGATGGCAATGACGATGATGGGTCGAACGTGTTGGTGGTGGGTGTGGTGGCGACGCCGACATAGGTCATGTCCATAACGACGTCGGGTTCGACCATGCGCTCGGTCTGGTAGAGCGTCTGGTAGTCGCCCTCGACCTGCACCTGCACCTCGCGCAGGGCGATCACCCGATAGAACCGCACCTCGAACCTCATCTCCCGCGCGCCGCTGCCCTCGCCCGCGTAGGTCTGCTGGTGGTGGTCGTGGAGGTCCTCAACGGCGGCGAAGCTGAGGCCGGCCATGGCCAGGTGGGCCGACGGCCACAGCAACGGATTCGATGCATTTTTCTGCATTTATAAATAAATGAATAAAATGAAATAAATAACGATAAACAAATAAATAAAAGCAATAAAGCAATAAAAGAGTAAAGAGGGGAGTACCTGGCCGCCGACGAATATTTCGACCTCGGTGGGGAGCTGAGGGTCAGAGACGTTGGCAGGGGTGGAGGGCTTGTGGTTGATAACGAGCTTGAGTGTGTGCTCCTCGAGGTCAGGTCCCACCACGTAGAACCTGCCGCCTCGCCACTCTCTGCAGAGAGCGAAGAAGGGCAAGCGAGATGAGATGAGATCACTCAATCGAATAAAAATAAACTTGAATTGGGTAACGCACTCGCGTAGGCTTTCTTGGCTGGCGACATCAGCATGCGCAGCACCGCCAATGCTGGTGTTATTTCGCTCCAGCTGCAACACGAGCTGGAAATCTCCCTTCGCCAACATCTTGCCGTGCAGCTCCTCTTTTCACCTCGCTCTTGATTCTTTTAATCTCTCAAAGATTTTTTGATTGAATGATTGAATCGTTGGATAACGGCCGCCGTTCGTGGAAGAGCCTTTTTTTTACTGGAATTGTTTTGAATTGTTTTTTGCTAACTAGTTTGGGAATTGGTTTGAAACAGTTTCGAAGCGGCTTCCGGAAAAGAAAGAAAGCTGATCAATCGGGGACATCGCGAACCAGCAAACAAGAACAAGATGACGCAGGGAACCGTTTCGAAAACGTCGGGTGTAGTGGGAGTGCAGAAAACCAAGAAGAACATCACAAAGCCATGTACGTCGCCACCTCGTCAGATCTATGACCGCAATTGGATGGATTAATTGATCTGACGCCCCGGCCTCGCCCCATAGCTCGCAAGGGTGCCCCCATCAAGCAAAAGATGAAGTCGGGAAAGGACAAGGCACAACAGGTACTTTGCTCCCTGACGTACAACCCTCAATCTTATTGCGTCCTGATTTCAATTTCAATTTGGAAATGGAACAGAAACTGGGCAAAACGATTAATCGCAACATCGAGAACTTCATCTGCGAAAAGGCGCTAAAGAACGGCGCCAAGCTGAAGATGCTCAAGCCCGAGGAAAAGGGTAGGGACAGCTCGCAGCAGCGCGTCAAGCGCTTCAAGAACAAGATCAACGAGGAGAGGAAGGGTGAAAAGAAGAAGAAGACCTCCATGGCCACCACCATCTCCATCTCTGCGCCTTCCTCTACCTCTACCTCCACTTCGTCATCATCCTCTGCCACCACGTCCACACCCTCGACTCCTTCGACCCCACGAAAATAGAGAGCAGACAGGTAAATAAAGCAACACCTTCAAGCGTGCTTTTCTTCTTCTTCTTGACCGAGCGCACGTTGCATGAACACAACGTCCTTCCACTCCCCGAACTTGATGCCCGCCCGCTCCAGCGTTCCCACCTGCGATCGCATTTAAGCACATGACACGACACACATGCAACACGACACGACACGACACAACACACGCAATTGCGCACCACACACGACGAACCTTGCGGAAGCCGAAGGATTGATGGAGTCCGATGGAGGCCGCGTTGTTGGAGTCGCCAATCACAGCCAACATCTGCTTGCGTCCCAACTTCTCGCACGCCTCGATCAGCGCTCGCAGCAACAGCTTGCCCAAACCCTGCGCCACACACACACACACACGGCAGCTCGGGTGAGCGTGCACACCACACCAGGCTCGCAAAGTGAGTACCAGGCCTGTCCTCTCCGGGTCGAGGTAGATGGAGTCCTCCACCGTGTATCGGTACGCGGTGCGCTCCTTTCTGTACTGTCCCGCATACGCGTAGCCCTGTGCGTGTGCGTGTGCGGTGGTGTGTGCGGTCAGTGCGAACGGCATGAAGCTGGTGAAGGGCGAGTGCGAGTGTGGAAGACGCACGCAGACGACGCCGTCGACCTCGGCGACGAGGTAGGGGAGGCCGGAGGCGAGCACATCCTTCCGGCGGCGGTGCATCTCCTCGAGCGGGGGCACCGTCTCTTCGAACGTGGCCGCCGAGTGGAGCACGTAGTGCGCGTAGATGCGAAGCACGGCCTCCACGTCCCCTTCCGTTGAGTCTCGGACCGTGGCACTCATCCTCCTCCTTGCTGCTTGATTTATCTATTGATTTTACTTTGATTATCTTTTATTTATTTATTTTTGACAACAGCGAACCAAAATGTGTGTCGGTGTCTGGCGTGGGTGGCAGATCAGAGAGGGAAGAAGTGTCCGGGCATCCAGCCCAGGCCGAAGCGGTGGTCGCGGTTGAGGCCATCGAGGCGCGCGACCTGGTCCGCGCTCAGCTCAAAGTCGAACACGGCAAAGTTGGCCCTGATGCGCTCCTCGTTCACGCTCTTGGGGATCACGACGACGCCCTTCTGAACGGCCCAGCGGATCAGAACCTGGGCCGGCGACCGACCCGCCTCGGCCGCGATGCCGTTCACCACCCCGCACTTGAGCAGCGAGGGCGCGCCCTCCAGCTTGCCCGTGTACGAATCCGACGAGCCCAGCGGCGAGTAGGCCGTCAGCACGATGCCCTTGGCTGTGCAGTAGTCCAGTAGCTCCTTCTGCACGAGGTACGGGTGGAACTCGACCTGGTTCACGGCCGGCACGGTCTGAGAGTCGGCGAGGAGCTGGTCGATCTGCTCCTGGGTGAAGTTGCTCACGCCGATGGCCCTGACGAGGCCCTCCTTCAACAGACCCTCCATGGCCTTCCATGTGTCCAGGAACTCGAACGAGGCCTTGATGAGCGGATTGGGCGAGCCGTCGGGCTGCCGCGAGGGCTGCGGGATCACCGCGTCCTCGAACTTGATCGGCCAGTGGATCAGGTACAAGTCGAGGTAGGCGAGCTGGAGGTTCTTGAGGGTGGTGCGGAGGGCATCGGCCGCACGGTCCTGGTGGTGGTGGTTGAACACCTTGCTGGTGATGAAGAGCTCCTCGCGCTTGACGAGGCCTTCGTCGAACGCAGCCTTGAGCGTCTCGCCGACCTCGGCTTCGTTGCCGTAGATCTCAGCGCAGTCGAAGTGGCGGTAGCCAGCGTGGAGGGCGGCCTTGACAGCGGCGGCCACTTCACCCGGAGCCGACTTCCACGTGCCCAGTCCGACGACTGGCATCGTCGCTCCGGTGTTCAGCGTCAGCGTGGGTGTGGTCGCCATCTCCTTCTTCCTTCGATTTATCTTTTGATTGTTATAATAATAAAATAAAAAAGAGAAAAGGCGTCTTTTCTATTTTCACTGCATTTTTTGCGTGTCAAGGATTTCGCCACCGCGCGGACGGCTGTACATCTGGATGCAAGAGGGGGCTGTGGCAGTTAGAACTAAACGACCGACAGAGGCAGACTGACCCTCACCAGGACACATCACCTCAGCACCACTCGTTCACACTCATGGATTCTGAACTGGCTCTGGCGATTGCCCTTTCCCTGCAAGAGGAAAAGGAGCGACAACAACAGGTACTCCTCACCTCGAGGTCAAGACCCTCACCCCAAAGACCATCACCTCAAGACATACACTGGATTACTTTTATTTATTGTTTATTTATGGCGTGGCAAAGGCGGCCAAGGTAGCGGAGTGGCCGCCTCTGTTCGAAGTGCAATGCTGCCGGACGTCCTTCTTCAGCCTCACCGCGCTCGAGGTGTGTCCATCGTGTGGCGGAGCCGTGGCTTTGCCGGACGACGGCCAACAACAGGCGAAGACAACGCCCGCCGAGGAGGACATCAAGACAACTACCGAGAGCGCACCATCGCTGCCGCCCAAGCGAACCAGGTACGACGCAGACGCCACTCTCGCCAAAGTGCACTTACGCGCAGGGGTGCTGCTGCCACGTCGATATTTCTATTCCTTTGGCAGGCACGACATCAACGTGGGACCCAGTAGGGGTCGGAGCTTGGCCATCAAGCCGACGGTGGGCACCTTTGGGCGCTACCACAACCGGATGCTCCTCCACTGCGGCCTGGCCGACTCCGCGGGCCGGGTGTACAACTTTGACGAGTCGGGGTGCCACGTCGACAGCGATTGGCACGAGAGCATCAGCATCCCCGTGGCCGCGCCGCACCTGAGCGACGAGCAGTGGGACGCCGAGCTGGACCGACACCACAAAGCGGAGCTGACGTACGTCAGGCCTCATCGCTACATTACAGTGATGGCTCGCTTACGATGGTAAATGCGACAGGTTCAAGGCCTATCGGCCGTACAAACAGCTGCAGAACAACTGCTACGACTACGTCATCCGCTTCCTCAATGGGGTCAAGTTCGAGGGCCGCAAGAACCACCAGAAGGAGGACATCGTGACACGGTTCATTCGTACGGCGGCCCTTCGCTTCGCTTCGCTTCGCTGCAAAGCAACAGATTAGGCTCGTCAAGGGTCTAACAGCTTCGATTGCAGAGGCGCCAATCGACCTCTTCGAGGGCTATTTCAGTGTGCGGCAGAAGCTCGACTCGCGGGAGGCGCAGCAGCAGGGCTACATCAAGCTGGACAGGTATGCTTGCCTCAGGGCTATCACTGTGAACGAGGCCCCGTTGGCGCTGTTTGATAGTAACGGCATCTCTCCCTCGTACCTAGCCTTGTGCAAGGTGGGCCGCGCCACACGTGCGACGGGTGTGGGCAACTGATCTCCCTCGACGATACGCGGCACCGCTGCACGGTGCGTGCGATTCGCTGTGGCGCGGTGTGCTCGCGGGTGCTCACAATGCGTTGACAAAACGGCAGGTGTGCAAAGAATTCGACTTGTGCTCTGGCTGCAAGGACGTCGAGGTGGGACAACACAAGCGCGACCACCCGACACTCGCTGTGTACGTACTGTGCAATCGTCTTCACCATTCAGCCCGCCAGCAGCTTATGTGCATGGTACAGAGCGGAGAGAGCCCGATTCACCTGTGATGGGTGCCGCAACACGATCACGACTTCCCACCACCGCTGCTTGGTACCCCCCCCCGCGCTCGCCCTCAGCCACGCCACCATCTCTCCCACGCCACCATCCCTCCCACTTACCTTTGCTCTCCATCTCCTGCATCTCTCATTCCAGGAATGTCCCGACTTTGATCTCTGCGGCGAGTGCCACTCGACCAAGAAGGGCGTGGGCTCCACCCACACCAAGCACCACCGCACTCTCCGCCTCTAGTCCACCTCTCGCCACATGTCAATCAACACGAACCCCATCAACATCGTTGCTTCAGCGCGCCAACGGACCGATGAGGTTTGGGCGGGAAGAGAGAGACGTTACGAAAACACAGAGACGTTGGCCTAACGGCCGCCGGGCGGGGTCTGGCCGCCAATCCGGGCCGCTGGGCGGGTGTGGCGGTTATGCGACCACCACCATCGCCCGCCATAAAAGCTCGGCCGCCTTTTGTCGATTTCTTCATCTTTCGTTCAAACACCACACACCACCAACACCCACAGCGCTTCAGCTAGATCATTCAACTCTTTAGATGGCCCGTACCAAGCAGACCGCCCGTAAGTCGACCGGAGGCAAGGCCCCCCGTAAGATGGCCTCCAAGTCAGCCAAGAAGAGCGCCCTCGCTGGAGGCGTGAAGAAGCCGCACAGGTTCAGGCCCGGCACCGTCGCCCTCCGCGAGATCCGTAAGTACCAGAAGTCGACCGAGCTGCTCCTCAGGAAGCTCCCCTTCCAGCGTCTCGTCCGCGAAATCGCCCAGGACTACAAGACTGGTACCCCCCCCCCAAATTCAACATACGAGATGCATCTTTCATCTCAAACTCACTCCTTGTGTTTGTTTGAACCTCAGATCTCAGGTTCCAGAGCGCTGCCGTCGCTGCCCTTCAGGAGGCTGCCGAGGCCTACCTCGTGGTCTCTTCGAAGACACCAACCTGTGCGCCATCCACGCCAAGAGGTATACCTCGCCATTCTTTATTGTTGATCGCATCTGCCGGCATTTATTGATCTGCGTATCGATTTCCTACAGGGTGACGATCATGCCCAAGGATATCCAGCTCGCCCGCAGGATCCGTGGTGAGCGTGCCTAAGCGTGCACAATGCACTCAACCTTCAACATCTTCATCTGTCGACATCTCCGTTCTCGCCATCCTCGATTCCTGTACGGAGGGAAATGGCGCCGAAGAAGAGATGCACCGATATGAAGGAAATGCAGGAGCCAACAGATGACAGTGACCACAACGCGAGCGATGTACCGTGTACAGATAAATTTTTGTCAAACAAACATAAAAAGAAAAATAAACAAATTATAAAAACGCATTGTTGTAATTTTTTTGCAACTCTTAGTTATTTCTAACATGGAGCGTCCTTCTGGGAGGACATTGTTTGAGAATGGAGATGTTGGACACTCTTTCAACGCTCCATCATTCCTTGCGCGTGGGGAGTCGCAGTGGCGTAGAAGGTTGGGCGTGAGTGTGTTGCGCGCCACAGACCCTAGGGTCCCTTGGTAGGGCTTGGCGACCCTAGAGTCCCTTGGCGGGCTTGGCGAATAGCGTGGAAGTTGCTTTGGTCGACTTCTCTCTTTGCGTTTCTTTCGCCGGTGCGAGAAAGAACTCCTATCGGGGCTCTCCCTCGCAGGCTTTCTGCTTATCTCACGCAGTTGCGTGCAGCACTTGGTGGTGCACTCTGTCTCTGTCGGTTCGCGCCTCTGCTCTGGGCTTCGCTCTTTTCGCTTTGCTCCATTATATCTTTTTATTATTTATTATTTATTATTTATTATATTTTATTGATATTTAAATATTCAAACCTCGAATGCAGTAGTGGCCGGATGGAGTCAGATCGGAAGGCGCTGAGGACGAGCTTGACGAGCGAGGTGCTGGGCAAGAAGGAGGAGGTGGTCACTGCCCTCTTGCCGCACTATGAAGCCCTCATTCAACGGTCCTGTGACCGCGTAGCGAGAATTCCGATAGACATCAACTGGGAATCGTTCATCAAGGCCAAGCGACCCGACTTGGCCCTCTCCACCCTTCATCTATGGGGCAGCTACTTCGTGTTGCATCGAATCGCAAGCGTTATCGAAGAAATCTGCACCTCCGCTACTCCCGCATCCCCGCTATCTACGAGCGGCCATCCAGCTTCAGCTCCTTCTGTCATCCCTTCGTCTCCTTCATCTACACCACCTTCTGCTTCCATACCGCTCTACCCTGGCGGCAAATCGATTATCGCATCGCAATTGGTGCGCATTATTGTTCAGAATGAAGACAAGCCTCTCCACGGCAAGGACAAAGTCGTGCTCAAGCCCTACCTGAGGAAGAAGCACAACAACGACAAGGAGAAGGCCGAAAACGATGAGGAAGTAGAAGACGAGGAGGTGTGGGTGTTGACCCTCCGTGGCAACTTCGGCCAGGGTGCCCTCGGCGGCTTCTCGCGCAAGCGGCTCATCTCAACCCTCACCCGACGCCTCAAGCTCACCGCGCTCCACCACAAGGCCCTGCTTGACCACGTCATTCTGCCGCGCTGCAACGCCCAGCTCCTCGCCCTCGCCGGCGGCGACAGCACCAACGACAGCCCCAAGGCCACCGACGACGAAGACGACGAACTCGTGCGCGGCAGCGGAGTGGTCGCAGTTCAGGTGGCGATCGACTGGGAGACGATCGACGAGTGCGACGACGAGCGTGCGCTGCGCAACCTCGCCGCCTGGTGCGGCCACTACTCGCTGGCGCAGGTGGCGCTGGCCTTCACGGAGCTCGCCGAGCGGTGGAAGACGGCCGAGTGCGTGAGTGCGGTGGTGCAGAGGGTGGTGGTACGGCACGTTCCGGGCCAGGACGCCACGCGCAAGCGCTGCTTTGTCGAGGCCGGCACGCTCTACATCGACGGCGTCTGGGAGCTCGACGGCTGGCAAGCTGGATTCCGGCATCACCAAATCGCTGAGGTCTGGCTCCGTGTCGTGCGTCGTGTGCGTCGTGTGTCGTGCGTGCTGCATCGAACTAACATGGATGCACTATACACGTTCAACAGGTGCTGAAGCAGACCCACTACCTGGCCACGTGCCCGCATCGAGGAAAGAAGAAGTTTAAGTACCTCAAGCGAGCCCTGCAGTCGACGAACGTGCTCAACGGCCATGTCGACTACCTCAAGCGGATTCTGTCGCAGCCCTGCTTCCAGCAGCCGGTACTCTCACCCGCCCATGGATCACACGCACACTCACACGCACACGCACACGCACACGCACACGCACACGCACACGCACACGCACACGCACACGCACACGCACACGCACACGCACCACCGCACACGCACGATTGCAGGCAGACGATCGCTCACGCGTTGAACTGTGTGACAGGACCAGGCGCTCACGAATGCCATCAACACCTGCCTGCAGCCGTACGTGACCAAGGGCGAGGAATACATCCACGGTTGGCATTGCATCAAGGTATATCATCCCTGCGCGTGCATTGCGCCATGCATGTGGGTTCACTGTTTGTTAGAGCATTCATTCCCTAAACGCGTTGCGTTGCATTGGGGGTGAGCAGGTGAACTTCCGCGGGCAAGCGCAGGAGCGAATCGTGGTACTCACCGACTGCGCAGTGTACACCTTCGCCTACGACTTTGCGAAGAACAAGATCGACAACGATCGCGTCCACCGACACGTGCATGAACACTTCAAACACATCACCTACGGTACAGCGCCGCACACACCGCACAACACGCAATCTCGATTGACTGACTGGTCGTCTGTGGTGGCGGATAGGCAAATACATGAATGCAGCGGGGGGCCAGGCCGAGTACTGCCTGCGCTACGAGACTCACGAGCGCGTGAAGAAGGACAAGGACGCCAAGTCCGGCGGCCGTTCGCTCGGCAACGTGGTGGCCAAGGCCGAGTCCGCCGCGGCGCTCAACCAAAAGGTGCTCGGCCTCGTCGAGCTCATGGTCGACGAGCAGCTCAATCCCAACAACGAGGCTACGCCCGCCGCCGCCGCTGGCGACAACAGCGAAGCGGGGCTCGGGCGCGAGGTAGACACCGGCGTGAAGGGCTTCACGTGCCGGCGGCTGCTCAAGCTGCTGGGTGAGACCATTCTCAAGTACCACGACAACTACCGGCTCGACCTGGCCCACCTCCTGCCGGGTCCCGCCATGGGGCTCATCGACGGCCTGGGCCTCTTGGCCGCCATCCTGGAGGATCACCAGCACGCCCTCGTCGAGGGGCTCGTCCATGCCGCAGGTAAGGTTTCTGCGCGCGTGTGTGTGGCGTTTGCTTTACTTACTAGGGTTGCTTGGCTCGGTCGCAGGCGAGCCGCACCTACAGGGGCAGGTGAAGCTGGACAACAGCCCGGCCACGACGCTGCACTTTGTGCTCAAGTCGCTCCTCGCCCAGCTCAAGGCGCTGCTGGTCAAGCGCGCCGCCGCCGACGGCCGCGAACGCGACGAGACCGACTCCAGCGAGGCCTCGCTGCACAACTTCACCCTCGCACCGCCCACGCCCTCCTCCACCTCCTCTTCTTCCTCCTCCGCCGCCTCGTCTGTACATATCCTCTTCTTCGTGTCGCAGCTGCTCAAGCAGATGCAGCGACTCGAGCGCATCGAGCAGGTCGAGCTCATGGGCGGCATGACCGCCAGCGCCAGCAAACGCAGGACCAGCCGCGAGAACAGCCACGTCGACCACGACGCGACGAGCGACACGTCGACTGCGCCGGCGAAGAAGACGACGACGAAGCGACCACGGACCGGTACGGTGCTGGGGCCGGCAGCGAACAACCGACGCATGTTCCACCTCCCGACGCCCGAACCGCTGCCCGTCAGCCGCGTCCTCCAGCGCATCGGCGAGCACCTGCGCGGCCTCGCCCTCCCGCCCTTCCGCTTTCCTTCCTCCTCCGTACAACTCTTTGCCTCCTCTTCCTCCACCTCTTCGTCTTCGTCTTCATCTTCTCCATCGTCATCGGCCACTTCATCATCATCGCCATCGCCCGCTTCGTCTTCTTCATCGTCGTCGTCATCGTCGCCGCCGCCAACGACATCGCCGGTGGAGCTGGCGGACGTCAGTCTGTCGGCCGAGGATCTGATCGAGGCGGTGGTCAAGGCCCTGATCGACAAACCGATCCCCGCCGTCGAGTTTCCCGAGCTTCGTTCCCGCAAAATGGCACGCACACACGCCACACGCCCAACCGCACACGCGCACGCCGCACACGCCCAACCGCACACGCGCCACCGCACGCATGCGGCTTACATTGCGTGTGTGTGGGTGTGTGTGTGTGTGTGTTCAGATATCGGTGCTGGAGCGATGCGTGGAGCCGCTGCTGCGCCTCGACCTCGCCCCCCTTCCAGCACGCGGCGGTCGACCAGCTCCTCGGCTTGGCCAAGCCCAAGCCCAAAGCCAACAAACCGTCATCATCTCCATCTTCATCGTCTCCCTTCTCCACCTCCGCGGGCTCATCGTCGCCTTCGTTCTTTCGCAAGTTCATCCCCGAGGAGCCCGACACCTGGGTACTCCTCCTCAAGCCCGCCGCCGACATCGACGACCCCGACGCCCGACAAGGTACCCACCACCCCCCACCCCCACCTCCCACCCCCCACCGACGTCTGATGGTGAGCTGACGTGGGTGGTGGCTGCGCGCAGATCTGGTGAAGGAGATGGGCTGGGCGATCTACGGCGCGGCGCGGACGGCCCTGCGGCCGTGGTGGGCGCCCAAGCCCGAGCGACGCGGCCTGACCGCGCCGTCGTCCTTCTTCGCGCAGGTCTACAACAAGACGGGCCAGGGCAAGTCCAACCGACCCTCAACGACGACGACGACCACCACCGCAGCTGCACACTCCTCTTCCTCCTTCTCGCCATCCTCACCACCTTCTTCATCGGCATCGTCTTCTTCATCTTCCGGCGGAGGCACCAGCTCGGCGCCGGCCATGGTCACGCGCGACTCGTCGTTGATCGCCTCGCCGCAGCGCACGTTCGCCATCTCGCCGGCCATGGTCGCCGCCGCCGTCGATCGACGACGCTCCATGCCCTC